AAGACCAAACGGGTTATTTTTAAGACCAGAAGTCCCCTCCTAGAAGACCGGAAGATCTACTCATAAAAGACCAGAAGGTTTTCTCATAGAAGGTCTTCTCATCTCATAGTGTCGGCTTAAAAAAATGAAAATTTTTTGAACAGACACAAAAAATAGACCCCTAGAACCAAATGATGTATGAACACATTTCACCTCCACTGTGTTCACAGAGCAAAGAATTACCTTTAATAAAAAAAAACACTTGAATCATTTTTTTATCAACGCAAGAAGAGACTTCTCACGTGTTCTTTTTTGAAGAGATATTTCTAAGTGAGAATGTGGGAATTCCAGCAAAAAATAATTACTTTTGAAGGTTCCAACCGATTTGGTTACTTATATTTGTCATAAAAATATTTCGCATCTTGACTGTATAAATGACCAGCCTCCATGTTTTCTTATCGTGGTATAGTCTAATAATTTAACATACATACACACATACATATGAATAAGATTTCTAAATGTTATCTTCACCAATTAACCCTACCTCAATGAAGGCGGTAGATTAACAGATGGCTATTGAAATAATGTTAGATATTTTGATTGCTACTGTTTTCACCACTACTGCCGACCTCAACGCTCTCTTGTTGACAATAGCTATTGAGAACGCTATACTAACGCCTATTGATTGACTTTGAATTGGATTGCGACACAGCAAACCAACTGCCATCATCAACAACTCAATTCAGTTTGTTTCTACTCTGAGAACCATTCACAAATAAGTGCGGAAAATTTTGTAATCGATTCGAATGCTGAATAGAAAAAACGTGTTGTCATAAAACAATAGTAATAACAATAAAATAACAATTAAATAAATAATATAATAGTAATAAAATATGTGTTAATCTTTTTTTTAATATTTTTAAATAATATAACAAATATTCGAGGTGATAAAAAAAACTGCGTTGATAGTTAGGAAATTATTTTTTTTTATTTTTTTCTGTTCTTTATTTATTGCTATTAGTTTTTTTGTCACATACATACATTTTAATATAGTTAACAAAACAATTGAAAATGCATTTAGACATTCTACTTACACGTGATATAATAAATAATCTAAAATAGTTCCGATAATGAAAGAGAAAAAAAATATTATTTCAAGACCAACCTATAAAAACTTACAACTAAGGTCAGATTCTGCAGGAATCCACCATAATACAATAAATAAAAATACTCAATAAGTACAAATGAATCTGTCAGTTCTGTCGAAATTATATATCGGAATACCGGGTGAGATGAAAAAACTGCAACCAAATTCAGACTGCTGTCATTTTTAAGCCCCTCCTCCGACAGCTGTTACATTTATTCCAGTGACAGCTCATTATATTATTTACAAGCGAACAAAACGCATTTTGGTGAGAATTTTCTCGGAAAAAAGTTATTCGCCATGGAATTCAAGCGTGATTGTGTGATTTCTTTATATCTGGCTGAAAAACCACAAGTGGCTATCGTTAGAGCAGTCCAGCATTTAAATGTGAATAAATCCTTTGTGTCTCGTACCATCGCTCGTTACCGTAATACTGGTACCGTAGCCCATTGGAAGAAAACAGCAACATCAGCAAGGTTCGAAACGTAAAGAAGCGACTTGATCGAAAAACGCGTCGCAGTGGTCGAAAAATGGCTCGTGAGCTGAACATATCACAATATTTCATACGGCAAATATTGAAAAAAGAGCTCGGGGTATAGCCATTGAAATTCCAAAAAGTGCAAGAACTTACACAGCAGCCGAAAGAAAATAGACTCAAAAGAGTTGCTTCGCTTGGGCGAAAGTGGTGAACTGCCGAATTTGGTTTTCTCCGATGAGAAAACATTCGTTGTCCAACAGTTTGTAAACAAACAAAATGATCGTGTTTACTTGCCAAAGAGGTCAGCTGGCAATGTGCACCTTCGGTTAGCCACCATGACACAAGCGCCAGCCGCTCCCCGCTCGTATTAATCAAACGTGACATCAGAATAAATGCCGAATATTATCGGGAAATTTTCTGGAGGGTGTATTAAAGCCTTGGGCACGCAAACATTTTGGCCGCAGACCTTGGCACTCAGCACGCGCCACCTAAGAATAGTTTCAAAATGAGGTTCCTCGCTTCATTTCTGGCGCACAATGGCCACCAAAATCTCAAAAATCGGATACCAATCCGTTGAACTATTGTGTCTGGAGTATTTTGGAAAGCAAGGTTGGCACTAAAAAATACCAAAGTGTCGATCACCCCAAGCAAGCGCTTCGCCGAGAATGGGCCAAAATACCGCAGAGCAACATTCGAGCAGCGTGTGATGGTTTCATTGGCCGTTTGAAAGCCATAATTCGTACTAAAGGTGACAAATTCGAACAAATGTACCTTTATTCTAAAATTTCAAGCTATTTCCGACATTTTTTGCTTTCATTCAATTAAATTTAAAAAAAAATGTAAAAATTATGGCGTTTGACTTTGTTGCAGTTTTTTTTTTATCTCACCTCGCATAAATCGCAATACAATTGTTTTGAATAAAATCCATTACTTTTTCAAAATGTTGGTCCTCTTTGGGAAGATACCAGAAATATTTTCGTACAAAACTTTCTAAGCCAAGATAGAGCAATTAAAATGGTCACCATAATTTGCGGTAAAATAACTCAGAACATCTTCAGACAAAAACCAAGGGAACTGAAGAGGATTGGTGGCTCTTTCCGAAAAAAATGCATTCCCTCTATTACCACCTGGTAAATACTACAATCTTTCACCGCTAATAAATTTTTTTTTTATAAGCCTAACTATTTTACAATAAATAAATTAAATGTTGACCCCTTGTGGGTGGGGTACCAATAGAGGTTCGCAGATATATATCAACTTCACAGCAGGTCTTGTGTTTGGATGTGAAATTTGAAGAGAGTTGGATGCTTATTTCCTTTCATTGAGAGTTTTGTTTTTCATAATCTTGAACTATATGTGAGGGGGGTACCAGAAGAAATTGTGCGATCTCTACCGTCTTTATAACATATCTTGTGTTGAAGGAATTATTGAGATGTACCAATTCTTAATGGAATCGAATGTTAATTTCGCGTTTTATGATCTTCATGGATATTCAAAATGTTAACCCTTTGTGGGGGAGGTACCAGAAGGTGTAATCCGATATATTCCATATTTACACCAGATCTTGTGTTAGTGGAATAATTGCGATGTGTGAGGTTTGAAAAACTTATTTCCCATTATTAGGACTTTTGTTATTACAAATTTGATCCCTCTGGGGGGAGGGGGGAGGTACTAGAAGGAGTAGATCGATATATCTCATCTTCACGCCATATCTTGTGTTAATAGAAATATTGGGATGTGTGGAATTTAAAGAGAGTCATATGCTTATTTAAAATTTTATGAGAGAAATAATTATTCCAAATTTTAACCCGTTGTGGGGGAATTATCTGCAGGAATGGTCCGAGAGCTACCCTATTTTTTACAGATCTTTTGTTGATGAAAATATTGAGATCTACCAACTTTGAATGGAATCGGATGTTAATTTCGGATTTTATGCTTGTTCTTGTTATTGAAAATTTGGCCCTTTGTGGGGGAGGTACCAGAATCAGTGCACCGATATATTCCATCCTTACAGCAAATCTTGTTTTTGTAGAAATAATAGGATGTGCGTAATTTGAAGAGAACCGGATGCTTATTTCGGATTTTATGCTTGTTCTTGTTATTGAAAATGTTGACCATTTGTGGGGGAGGTACCAGAAGAAATGGTCCGATCTCTAGCATCTTTATAACAGATCTTGTGTTGATGGAAACATTGAGATGTGCCAAGGCACATTATCAATTTCGCATTTTATGAGCTTCATGGATATTCCAAATTTCGACCATTTTGTGGAGAAGGTACCAGAAGGAGTGGACCGATATATCCCATCCTCAAACCAGACCTTGGGTTAATAAAAACATTGTGATGTGTGAAATTTGAAGATAATCGGACGCTTACATCACATTTTATAAGAGTTGTAATTATTGAAAAGGTTCACCCTTTGTGGGGGAGGCTCTTCATGGAGTAGACCGATATTATCCATTTTTGCGCCTGACCTAGTAGTAGACTTCGCAAAGTAAGAGCAAAATCGGATAATTCTTTCTCTTTCTGTGCAGTAAATTATTTTCTTCGAAAATTTTGTCATTTTGTGGAGGAGGTACCAGAAGGAGTGAACCGATATTACCCATCTCCGAACTCGATCTAAGTTTGACAACAATATTACGATATACCAAGTTTGGATCAAATCGGTGAGCTATCGTGCGCACCAGCCAGACGGACGGACGGACGGACATCGCTAGATCGACTCCAAATGTCCTGAAATGGATTTGATCCAAAGAGACCTAGGATTTAAAGCCGTTATTTCTATGAGGCACGTTTTGGTCGTATCAAATGATATATACCCTCTCTAGCCATATGGCTGAGGGTATAAAAATAAAAATTTGGAAGACGGGCTGTTTAGGCTGTTTTTTGATAAAAAAAAAAAAACTTTCAAAACTCCGATAAACGTGACTTCTATGGATTTTTCGTTATTATTGAAAATAATTTTGTAGCACAGTGTTATTATTGGCCCTTGCTGACAGTTTGAAAATTAGCTATTTTTCAAGAATTTATGCTGAGAAGGTCCAAAGAACGGGAATAAATCGAAATAATAGCCCTAAATCCATCGAGTAAGGGACTTGCGAATTTGCATAAAATTTGGCATCGTGGAGAGCTCGACAAGTAGGCTTACGTTGTTACCATATTCATACTCATATTTCATGGTGGTCGTCGGTAATTTATTTATCTCAAATGATTGCCTTCAAAAAGTTGACTTTTCGCCTCGAATACTTTCGTCTATAATATTTACCATTGACTGCTATAATTTTCACCCTCGCTGCCATCAACAAGTAGCTGCTCTCTTCTTGACAAAATGGAAATGATTGAGAACGATATGGCACAGCTCATATTGATTAAATAGCTATCGCGTTGATGAGATACAACAAAACAAACCGGCATCCCCCGACAAAAATCACTTCAGTTCGTGTCAACGCTCAGAACAGGGCGCAAATAATTGCGGAGAAATTGTGCCAAATTGAGAATCACAAAAAAAAATATAAATTCAAAACGAAAAACGCGTTACAAAAATATAACAACAACAACAATAATAAATAATATATCTTAATCGGTAATAATAATAACAAAAAAAAAACAGAATAAAAAACTATTAATTGTTTTTACAAATATTTGACGTCACAATTTCAAGAGTGGGTTGATAATAAGTTAATGTATTTCCATTGTTTAATTATTATACGATTTTCTGTTATAAATAAATTTGTTGCTATTTTTGTGGTGGGGACTTTTTTTCGGCGGGGGTGGTGGTGGTTGCATAAATTGTGTAATTAAATTTAAATACTGTTCGGAAAAAAATTAACTCAGGAGACAATTTAACGTTCCGCATATTTCACCATATCTGTGGCGGTAGATAATATCCGAGCAATTGTGAAATCATTATTTACCCCCTTTCCGTCGTCAACCGCCGCCACCTTGTGAAGGTGGGATTGTGTTGTGCGGCTGAAGAGTTAATGATAAATCGAAATATGGTTCCCAGACAGCAATTCAGTTTTAGTGATCGGGAGATAACAAATTTGTTGCAAATTTGAAGATCTATTAAAAAATGATAAATCCTTTTTGATTTGAATTTGGCGCTATAACACCTTAGCGGGTCTTAATAAATACAGGGTGAGATAAAAAACTACAACCAAATTCAGACTGCTGTCATTTGTAAGCCCCTCCTCCGACAGCTGTTAAAATTATTCCAGTGACAGCTCATTATATTGTTTTAAAGCGTACAAGAGCATTTTGGTGAGAATTTTCCAGGAAAAAAATTATTCGTGATGGAATTCAAGAGTGATAGTGTGATTCCTTTATATTTGGCTGGAAAACCACAAGTGGCTATCGTTAGAGCACTCCAGCATTTAAATGTGAATAAATCTTTTGTGTCTCGTATCGTGATACTGGTAGCGTAGCCTGACGTCAAGGAAGTGGACGGAAGAAAACGGAAAACAGCAACATCACAAGAAATGGTTCGAAAAGTAAAGAAGCGACTTCGTCGAAACCCGCGTCGCGGTGGCCGAAAAATAGCTCGACCTGAACATATCGCAATACTCCGTTCGACAAATATTGAAAAATGAGCTCGGGGTAAAGCCATTGAATTTCCAAAAAGTGCAAGAACTTACACCGCAACAGAAAAAAAATAGACTCAAAAGAGCTAAAGAATTACTTCGTTTGACAAAAAGTGGTGAACTGCTGAATTTGGATTTGTCCGATGAGAAAACATTCGTTGTCCGGCAGTTAGTAAACAAACAAAATGATCGTGTTTACATGCCAAAGAGGTCAGCTGACAAATGTGCACTATCGTGTAGATGGTGTAGGCCGTCATAACAGCCGATGATCGCTCTCCGCTCGTTTTAATCGACCGTGAGATCAGAATAAATGCCGGATATTATTGCGAAAATATTCTGGAGGGTGTATTAAAGCCTTGGGCACACAAATATTTTGGTCGCCGAATGTCCAAGGTCTGCGACCAACAGGACTCGCACTCAGCACGCGCGCCACCCAAGAATTGTTACAAAATGAGGTCCCTTGCTTGATTTCCAGCGCCCAATGGCCACCAAAATATCAGTATACCAATCCGCTGGACTATTGTGTCTGGAGTATTATGGAAAGCAAGGTTGGCACTAAAAAATACCAAAGTGTCGATCACCTCAAGTAAGCGCTTCGCCGGGAAAGGGCCAAAATACCAAAGACGGTTTCATTCGACCGGGCCGAACTTTTGATACACTCCACCATTTCGAAGGAAGTTGAAAATTCTCAAAAAAAAAATCCAAAAACTACGACTTAAATGAAAACCGTTACATGGGGACTATACGAAGACGTGGACCTATATACGAATTTTTTGTCATAGGCTGTAGTTCAAATACGAAATTTATTACAATTACGGTGAATAATGTCTCAAAAATCATGACAATACGGAGTTTCGGGAGGTACCGAAGACGTGGACCAGCATAGACAATTTTCTGTCTTAGGTTGTAGTACCCATTGGGATCTTCCAATAGGAAATTTGAAACAATTCCGGTGAATAATGTTGTTGAAACCATCAAAATACCAAATATCGCGAGGTATGGTTATATGGAGGCTATACGAAGAATTGGACCTGCATACAAAAATTTTTGGCATAGGCTGTAGTACTCATTAGGAACTTCCAGTACGAAATTTGAAACGATTCCGGTGCATAATGTTGCTAATATCGTCAAACTACCGAGTATCGGGAGGTACCGTTATATCGGAGCTGTGAGAAGACTTGGACCTGCATAGACAATTTTCTGTCACAGGCTGTAGCATCCAATTCGAACTTCAAATACGACATCCCAACAATTTCGGTGGGTATTGAACCTAAACTCGTCAACAAACCGAATATAGGGAAGTACTGATATATGGGGCCTATACGAAGAACTGGACCTGCATAGACAATTTTCTGTCACAGACTGTAGTTCCCATCACGAACTCTAAATACGTAATTTGAAACATTTCCGGTGAATAATGAAGCTAAGATCATCAAAATACCGAATATTGGGAGGTACCGTTATATTGGGGCTTTACGAAGACGTGAACCTGCGCAGGCAATTTGCTGTCATAGACTGTAGTATCTACTACGAACTTCAAATACCAAACTTAAATCAATTCCAGTTAATAATGTCGCTAAAATCACCAAAATACCTGATGTCGGGAGGTACCATTATATGGGGGCTAAACGAATACATAGACCTGCACAGATAATTTTCTGTCTTAGGCGGTAGTATCCATTTCAAACTTCAAATACCAAATTTGAAACAATTCCGGTGAATAATATCGCTAAAATCGTCAAAATACCGGAAATCGGGAGGTGCAGTTATATGGGGGCTATACGAAAACGTGGACCGACATTTAGGAACTTAGCCTGCCTACTGGAAAACTATGCATGTATGCAAAATTTTAGCCTTCTATCTCAATTCGTTCGAAAGATAGCGTGATTACAACAGATAGACAGATGGACAAGCAGACAGACGGACATCGCTAGATCGTCTTAGTATTTTATGCTGATCCAGAATATATATACTTTGTAGGGTCTATTATGAATATTTCGAGGAGTTACAAATGGAATGACAAAGTTAATATACCCTCCATAGAATGGTGGAGAGTATCAAAAATGTAAAAATTATGACGTTTGACTTTGTTGCAGTTTTTTATCTCACCCTGTATAGTATTAATAAAAACCAAATTTTAATTCTCAAGTATGTTGACTTTTCAGGGACGGGAAACTTTTTCCCGTTCTCGTGTTATCAGCTAAACATAAAAAACAATAAATCCAAAAGATAATATCTTTATGGCAGGCGGCTGGAAACAAGCCACAAATCTTTATCTTTTGAGATTCATTTAGACAATAAATATAATATTAACCGCTCCCATCCATATAGTGTAAAAAATTTGGAAATATAAAAAAAATTATTGCCTTCTATGGCATAACAATTATCTACGAAGCTCTTCACGTTACATTCAAGTGTTCAATTTAATGAAAGTGCTATTGTTCGCTGTTTTACAGAATAACCCAATGCCAATGCCCAATAAAAATGGCCGAAGATAAATCTAAATTGAATGTAACCAACAATAACAACAACAACAACACATCAGTTATCTACAAACAGACAACAAAACCGAATAAATCAAAACATCGAGATAAAAGTGATTTAGGACCAAATTTTGTGGCGCCCGATGGCGGTTGGGGCTGGGTGGTTTGCATCGCTACTGGTTTAAGTAATGTAAGTATTAATATGTTAATATAAAAATTATGAAAAAATATATAACCTCATCATACCAAAAGAAGTAAATACCTATATTTCAGCTTGACACCAGAATCTTAATATCACATTTTATACCCTCAGCCACATGGCTACAGAGGGTATATATGATTTTATACGGCCAAAATGTGCCTCATCGAAATAACGGTTTTAGACCCTAGGTCTCTTTGGACCAAATCCGTTTCAGGACATTTGGAGTCGATCTAACGATGTTCGTTCGTCTGTCTGTCTGGCTGGTGCACACGATAACTTTCGAATTGAGTATCCGTATTGGTACATCGTAATATTATTATCAAACTTAGATCAAGTTCGGAGATGGGCAATATCGATCCACTCCTTCTACCACCTCCCCCACAAAAGGTCGACATTTCCAAAAGAATATATTTTGCTGCAAAAAAGAAAAATTATTATCGAATTTTGCTCGAACTTTTCAAATCCTAATATTTGTATCAGTGCTACGACAGGTGGAAAAATGGACAATATCGGTCCACTCCATCAATTACCGCCACAGCAAAGGGTAAACATTTTGAATAATTATAACTCTTATAAAATGTGATATAAGAGTCCAATTGTCTCCAAATTACACACATCACAATAGTTTTATTAACCCAAGGTCTGGTGTGAAGATGGTATATATTGGTCCACTGCTTCTGGTACCTTGCCCACAAAAGGATCAAAATTTTGATTACCATGTAGCTCATAAAAGGCGAAATTTACATCCGATTCCATTCACACTTGACATATCTCAATATCTCCATTAACATAAGATCTGTTACCACTCCTTCTGGTACCTTCCCCAACAAAGGGTCAAAGTTTTGAATAACCAAAACGATCATAAAATCCGAAATAAGCGCTCGGTTCTCTTCATATTTCACACATTCCATTATTTTTACTGACACAAGATCTGCTGTGAATAGGGTCGGTTCACTCCATATGGTACCTCCTCGTAAAGAGTCAAAATTTTGAATATACATTAAGCTCATAAAACGCGAAATTAACATCCGATTCCATTCACACTTGGCACATCTCAATATTTCTATCAACACAAGATCAGTTATAAGGATGGTAGAGATCAGAAAATTCCTTCCGTTACCTCCAAAGGGTCAAAATTTGGAATAATCAAAACGATAATAAAAATCCGAAATAAGCACCCGATTCTCTTCATATTTCACACTCCCCATTATTTGTTCTAACACAAGATCTACTGTGAAGATGGGATGTATAGGCTCCCAAGGTCTGGTGTGAATATGGAATGTATAGGTTCACACCTTCTGGTACCTCCCCAACAAAGAGTCATCCTTTTGAATATCAACGGTGCTCATAAAACGCGAAATTAACATCTGATTCCATTCAAACTTGGCAAAATTCAATATTTCCATGAACACAAGATCTGGTGTCAAGATGGAATGTATCGGACCACACCTTCTGGTACCTCCCCCACAATTGGTCAAAATTTTGAATAATTATATGTCTTACAAAATGAGAAGTAAGCATTCGACCTTCTTAAAATTTCTACTAACACAAGATATGATGTGAAGATGATAGATAACGGCCTACCACATGTGGTACCTCCTTTTTAAACCAACACAATTTTTAATACCTAAATCTTTCATAACTTGCGAAACAAGTCAGCGATTCCATTCAAACCTGGTAAATCTTAATATTTTCCTCACTACATCCCTCCTCCCCCACAAAAAGATAAAATTTTCATTTCCCATAATTCGCATAAAATTGAAAATAAATGTTCGATTTTCTTTGCATTTCGCAGGTCTCAATATTTTTATTAGCATACACAGTGATTATCTTACCGAATTTCGGAATTCCAGCTATACCACTAGACTCTTTTAGGTGTAGATATCCAAAACATTGCCTAAATCCTTAGCTCTTCTACACTGGGCTCTTATATCAAAATCCATACTTCCCCCTTATTATACCCTCCACCCATAGTGTGGAGGGTATATTAAGTTTGTCATTCCGTTTGTAACACCGCGATCTGTTCATTTTAGACCCAAGAAATAAATATATTTTCTTGATCAGCATAAAATTCTATGTCGATTTAGCGATGTCCGTCCGTCTGTGGAAATCACTCTAGCTTCCGAACGAAATGAATTAGGTAGATAAAATTTTATTCAAATATATTATGTCTGCAGGACTTTTGGTATTGAAAATGAGACATGTAGGTTAACGTTTTGGTATAGCCCCCATATAATGGGGATTTTATTTCATGGAAAATTGCCAAATTCGTTCCAAATGCCGAGGTATAGTCTAAATTCTACACAACCATAGAGACCTGTACGCCAAAACACCTAATTCCAGCTCTGCATGCACACTCTATATGGACTTTAGTACCAGTTAGTACTTTTCGTACACGTTACAGCACGACGCACATAAATCTAAAATTCACAAATCTTCCTCTTTTCCTACTCTTTATCCAAAATTTAGCACCATTTGGTACGTTTCGTACCCAATACCGATTGGTATTCTTAAGAACTCATTTCCAAGATCACCTCCTCATATCAACCCTATTTTCAAAACTAAATTCAGATACGAAAGGTCGGTATTTTAGCTCCAAACGTTTACATAGTACCATATGGTACCAAATGTGGCACTTTTAGTACACTTACAGTTTCCAATAAAGCTTTAATACATCTATTCTCCACCGCATCAGAGGCCATCATTTCAAATTTCAGATTCATGGTTTTCCCAATTTTTGTACCTCCACACCAACATTGACCCACATGAACAATTTCAAGATTCTGGCTTTGTCTTTTTGAGTTGATCAATCAGTTAGTCAATCACTGATATATTTTCTAAATACATGTCGCAAAGTTTATTTACTAAAACAGCTGTAACTCATTAAACAACCGACCAATCCATCAATTATGCATATAAACCCTAATATTGATGTCACCCTCCATATCCAGTTGGCGAAAACAAAATCGGTTCACGCATTCCAGAGAACATCAATGACAAACACAATGCACCTCATTTTTATATAAAAGATTATTTATTAATTTAATTCAATTATTTTTTACCAGTTATCGCTATTCCCGCCACATCAGCAGTATGGCCTTATTTATCGCCAACGATTGGAGAACTTCGGTTTTGATGTCAAAGAAATCACGACAATAATTAATTCAGAATTTGCCATATCTTCGCTAGTGGGTCTCATAAATGGAGCCATGTTCCGGAGATTTTCCTTTCGACAGGTGGCCATGCTGGGAACTTTAATGGCATTCACCGGGATCTTTTTCTCGGCATTCTGTGAGAATTTCCTCGAGTATTTTGTGTGTTTCTCGGCGATTTATGGTGAGTGGATTAGAATCATTTATCTGAAATATTAAAAACATTTATGTGTTCTCTCGTAGGCTTTGGTCTGGGTTTAAGTAAATCTGCCAACTCATTGGCTGTCAATACATATTTCAAAAATCGACGAAGAAGAGCCACGGGATTTGCCCTGACCATCACGGGTTTGGGGTCCGTTGTCTTTCCTCAAATTGCCATCCTATTGCTGTCGCATTATGGGGCTCAGGGTTCGATTCTGATATTTGCAGCCTTGATGCTTAATGCATTTATGTGTTCGCTAACGCTGCAGCCGGTTTTATGGCATTCAACCACAAAGACTGCTGAAGAAGAGACGATAGAAGATACCAACACCTCCGGCAAAGAGAATATCAACTTCAAATGTAAATATTGCCAAAACAAGGAGAGAGAAAAAGACATGGAATTGGATATGGGAGAATATGAGATAACCGAGCCATGTGGCACCCCTCTCATAGCCCGTTCCAATGATGGTTGGTTTGGCTCCAAATTGTCTTTAAATAAAGAGGCGCGCTACTATCGCACTCGACAAATAAGTGAAAGTGGAGGAGGCTATGGCGTGGAAGAAAATCGAGAGAAATGCTTTCCCAAAATTGCCAGTAAGGCAAGTATTTATTCCAAAGCTGATAGGGAATTCCTTACCAGCTGTACCTGTGCCGAGGAGAAATTGTTGCTGGAGAAAAACTTGCAGAATACCCAAAAGGTACAGGAGGCAAAGCAACCACATCCAAAGTCGAAGGATCAGGAAAATGAAAAAGAAGATGCTGAAAGAGAACGTCTTTCCTTATGCCAGAAGATTGTGCTATTTTTCGATTTGGATCTCCTGCGAGACTTCACCTTTGTCAATTTGGCAGTCGGCATGGCCATAATGATGTTTGGCGAAATAAATTTTTCCGTTCTCACGCCGTTCATTTTAAATAGTTTCGGCTACAATGACCGGCAAATATCACTGGCCATGTCACTGCTGAGTGGCATGGATATAATTGTGCGATTCTTTGGACCTTTCGCCTTGGAAAAGGTGAAACTATCGAACAGTGTTCTCTTCGCCATCGGCATTTTAATTGTCATGATTGGCCGTTTATTGGTTACGCTCACCAATTCGTTTGAAGTCGTCTTGATGCTATTCGTGGTAATTGGTTTTGGCAAAGGATTTCGAATGCTCTTTGCACCGCTCATCGTTCCCAGTTATGTGCCATTGAATCGTTTGCCAGCCGCATCGGGATTGCAGTTGATTATCACATCGATTACCTCATTTACATTGGGTCCCTTGTTGGGTAAGTTTGATCGGATTGTTTGGAATTTCTTTTAAATATTTATTTGGTATTTTTCTCTTTTTCAGGATCCATTACCGATAAATTTGGCTATGCAGTGACTATTCATTGCATGAATGCCCTGACCTGTTTGATGCTATTATTTTGGTTACTGGAGTATTTGATTAGGAGTAGAAGATCGAATATGAAAATAAATAGATAATAAATAAAAAAATCAGAGTTTTTTTTAACCAAGGGACCCGGTCCCCTCCGAAATGGAGAATTATTAGAAATTTCATTTTACCCGAGAACGCACATTTTCTTCTGTTTTTTACCCTCCGCCATACAATGGAGGGTACACTAAATTTGCAATTCCATTTGCAACAACTAGCAATATTCCTTGGAGACCCCAAAAAGGATACACAAGGAGGAGATAAAAAAAACTGCAACCAATTTCAGACTGCTGTCATTTCTAAGCCACTCGCCCGACAGCTGTTAAAATTATTCCAGTGGCAGCTCATGATATTGTTTACAAGCGTACAAAAGCATTTTGCTGAGAATTTTCCAGAAAAGAAGTTATTCGTGATGGAATTCAATCGTGATAGTGTGATTTCTTTATATTTGGCTGGAAAACCACAAGTGGCTATCGTTAGAGCACTCCAGCATTTAAATGTGAATAAATCTTTTGTGTCTTGTACCATCGCTCGTTAACGTGATACTGGTAGCGTAAATCGACATCAAGAAATGGTTCGAAAAGTAAAGAAGCGACCTGATCGAAGCCCGCGTCGCAATGGCCGAAAAATTGCTCGTGAGCTGAACACATCGCAAAATTCCATTCGGCAAATATTGAAAAATGAGCTCGGGGTAAAGCCATTGAAATTCCAAAAAGTACAAGAACTTACACCGCAACAGAAAGAAAAATAGAGCTAAAGAGTTCCTTTGGACGGAAGTGGTGAACTGCCGAATTTGATCTCCTCCGATGAGAAAACATTCGTTGTTCGTGTTTACTTGCCAAAGAGGTCAGCTGAAAAATGTGCACCTTCGGTTGGCCACCAGAACTCAAGCGTCGGCTATGGTGATGGTGTGGGCCGCCATAACAGCAGATGGTCGCTCTCCGCTCGTATTAATCGACCGTGGCATCAGAATAAATTCTGAATATTATCGCGAAAATTTTCTGGAGGGTGTATTAAAGCCTTTGGCACGCAAACCTTGGACATTCCACGCGCACGCACGCTCCACCCAAGAATGGTTACAAATTGAGGTTCCTCGCTTCATTTCCAACGCACAATGACCATCAAAATCTCCGGATACCACTCCGTTGGACTATTGTGTCTGGAATATTTTGGAAAGCAAGGTTGGCCCTAAAAAATACCAAAGTGTCGATCACCTCAAGCAAGCGCTTCGTTTTGGAATGGGCGAAAATACCGCAGATCAACATTTGGGCAGCGTGTGGCGATTTCATGGTCCGTTTGAAGGTCATAATTCGTGCCAAAGGTGACCAATTCGAACACTTCTAAACTTATACAAAAAGTTGATGCTATTTCCGACATCTCTTGCTTTCATTCAATAAAATTTAAAAAAAATGTAAAAATTAAGGCGTTTGACTTTGTTGCAGTTTGTTGTATCTCACACCTCATTTTCAGACCAAACGCACATCTGAGTAAAATTTTATCAACCTACTTCGATTCGTTCAGACGCTAAGGTGATTTATTCAGGCACACAGGCGAACAGACGGACGGACATTGCTTAATCGACATAGAATTTGTAGGGTCTAAAATGTATATAAAATGACAAGCCTCCATACTATAGTGAAGGTTATAAAATGTCGACTATATCTGGTACCCCACGCACATTTTAACCTTTTCTAAAAATTATCACATGTCTCATAAAAACTGAAGGAAGTAGTCGATATAGCCCGAACTTAGTCATAGTCGATAAAGCCAAATAATATTCATATCGTTCCGAAATGGACAACATTGGCCCATTTCTTCGGAACCTACTCCATAGAGGGTCAACAATTTGAAAAAAATAACAGATGTCAAAATATAGTTCAATAATCGAACATTGGCTGAGGGTATACATCTGTCGGCAAAACCGAGTGATACTATTTAACCTGTTCAAAAAAAAAACATTTGGCTTAAATATATTAGATAATTCAGAAGTTATGATCACTAGGGAGAGATTGTGCAAAAATGGAAATTTTTTCAAACCCAAAAATATTTTCTGTTTTAGTCCAAAATTTCAAGTGTGATATTCTAAAGTATACTGATTTTCTGAACAAGGATCACGAAAAAGTGAATAGGGACGTGACAATTCCCATTTATTGGCTGTGAGAACTGTACCTTATAATTTGTTCACGAAGAATTTTTCAAACCATTTTGGGGTGAAAAATTTCATCTACAAAAAATCTTCATTCTTTTTGACTGAAATCATGTTTTCTCATATTTGAGCTGGGTAACTGGAAAGCAAATCTCTCACGCCCCGCATTTTGCTGACCATATTAATATTCTTCAACTGTATTGGATTAATTCGATATTTTAAAAAAATTGATATTCATTCACGAGAACTATTCTTGCATACTTTAAGGCTGAAAACAAAATATGATTGATAAATACATTCAATAACTTACCATGCTGAAAATAGAAGAAAAAAAGCAAATATTAATTTTCATATCAAAACAATTTAATTATAGTATTGGGATATAGCAACAAAGTTCAGTTTATGAGTTTCAAATATGAAATACATGATTACATTTCACATCAACTGCAGTGGAATTCTCTAACTCATTTTTTGAGTTACCGACAAAAGTCGGTAAAATTAAAATGCTTATAATTTCGGTAATTAACAACGAAATCAACAACGACGAAATCTAAGTAGTCGCTAAGACCTACCGATAGATACCAGTCTTTTCAACCTCAACTTATTTCTTATATCAAAATTTTGGCTTTAAAAGTTACCGAAATGAGTTAGAGAATCCTACTACTGATTTAGGAAAATAAATTAATTTTATTTCAAAACTTTTCTATCGAAAATCAACTGAATAAAACTGGATGAAAGTGGCTATCCCCAAACACAGCAATACATAATTGCATTTTTATAGCGGCTTTTAAAAATATTAATGACATTTACAGGGTGAGATAAAAAAAACTGCAACAAAGTCAAACGCCATAATTTTTAATTTTTTTTTTAAATTTTATTGAATGAAAGCAAAAAATTTCGGATATAGCATTAGATTTCACACACTGCCCGAATGTAGCTCTGTGGTATTATTGCCCATTTCTGGCGAAGCGCTTGCTTAATGTGTTCGACACTTCGGTTTTTTTTAGTGCCAACCTTGCTTTTCAGACGGCTATTTTGCGCAGGAAATGAAGCGAGGAACCTCATTTTGTAACCATTTTTGCGTGGCGCGTCCTGAGTCCTGTTGGAATATCCAAGGTTTGCGGCCAAAATGTTTGCGTGCCTAAGGCTTTAACACGCCCTCCAGAATATTTTTTTCCCGATAATATTCGGCATTTATTCTGATGCCACGGTCGATTAATACGAGCGGAGAGCGACCATCGACTGTTGTGGCAGCCCATACCATCACCATGCCCAGCGTTTAAGATCTGGTGGCCAACCGCAGGTGCACATTTTCAGCTGACCTCTTTGGCATGTAAACGCGATCATTTTGTTTGTTTAGAAACTGCTGGACACCGGAAAAAACAAAATTCGGCAGTTCACCACTTTCGGCAAAGCGAAGAAACTCTTTAGATCTTTTGAGTTTATTTTCTTTCTGTTGTGGTGTAAGTCCTTGCACTTTTTGGAATTTCAATGGCTATACCCCGAGGCCGTTTTTCAATATTAGCCGAATGGAATATCGTGATATGTTCAGCTCACGAGCAATTTTTCGGCCACTGCGACGCGGGTTACGATCAAGTCGCTTCTTTACTTCTCAAACCATTTCTGCTGATGTTGTTGTTTTCTTCCGTCCGCTCCCTTGGAGTCGGGCTACGCTACCAGTATCACAGTAACGAGAGATGGTACGAGACACAAAAGATTTATTCACATTTAAATGTTGGACTGCTCTATCGATAGCCACTTGTGGTTTTCCAGCCGAATATAAAGAAATCACACTATCACGCTTGAATTAAATCACGAATAACTTTCTTTCTGGAAAATTTTCATCAAAATGCTTTTGTACGCTTGTAAACAATATAATGAGCTGGCACTGGAATAATTTTAACAGCTGTCGGACGAGTGGCTTAGAAATTATAGCAGTCTGAAATTGGTTGCAGTTTTTTTTCATCTCACCCTGTACTAATAAATAAAACAACATTAAAAATGATAAAAAATAACTAAAGAGTCGACAAGAGTAGCATTTGCTCGATTTCGAGAGAATTTTACTCCCACGAGAGAACGAGCAATGCGTTGGTAATCTTATTCAAGTGACACAGAAAAAGAGAGTATACTCGCTTTTTAATATTTCCGCTTAAAATCTAGTAGAAAGTGGATCTCGCTTTGAGCTCTGAATAAAAATGTTGCGTCAATTTTCGATTTTGTACCGACGTTACTTGTAATAAGAAAGTCGAAAATCAACTTCAAAATATTTCCCTATTTTTTACCAACTAAGATACCACCTGCTACTGGTACGATCAGGTACTATCAAGTTTCAAAATAATAAAATATTTAAATATAAAGAGCACAACAACAACAATTAGACAAATAAATCAAGGTTAATGACCATTGTTATCGATAGTAAATATCGGGTAATTTCCTTAATGATAAAGCCATAATTCCATGATAGAATGATAACAATTGCTTGGTGGGAATGCGTTATGAACTAATAAACAAATTCCGAAATTTGGTACGAAATGTATATACACTATTTGGAAATAACTCTAAATTAGTAAAAACTTTCGGCATTTTATTTTTTTTACGAATCGAACCCGGATATTTTACACGAAAGTACGGGCTCAACAACCGGGCTAGAAACGGATATACGAAACCGATAAAGCACCACAAAAGGTCATCATGTTTTTTAACCCTCAGTCATATGAGAGGGTATATATCATTTGATAAGGCCAAAACGTGCCTCATCAAAATAACGGTTTTAGACCCTAGGTCTTTTTGGACGAAATCCGTTTCAGGACATTTGGAGTCGATCTAGCGATGTCCGTCCGTTCGTCTGTCTATCAGTCTGACTGGTGAGCACAATAACTCTCGAAGGGAGTATCCGGCTTGACCCCAACTTGGTACATCGTAATATTATTGTCAAACATATATCCAGTTCGGAGATGGGTAATATCGATCCACTCCATCAAGCACCTTCCCCACAGAAGGTCAAAATGTTAAAAAAAAATATTTACTGAACTGAAAGGATACTCCGATTGTGTTTCAAATTTGCAAATCTTAATATTTACATCAATGTTAGATCAGGTGCGAACATTGACAATTTCGGTCTACTCCATCAAGTACTTCCCCCACAATGGGTCCAAATTTTAAATAATTATAATTTTTATAAAATGTGATCTAAATGTCCGATTGTCTTCAAATTACACACATCACAATATTTTTATTAACCCAAGGTCTGGAATGAAGATGGAATATATCGGTCCACTCTTTCAGGTGCCTCCTCCACAAAATGTCAACATTTTCAAAGAAAAAAGTTTGCTACACAGAAAGGGAAAAAATAATCTGATTTTGCTCCAACTTTGCATATCCTAATATTTGCATTAGTACTAGATCGGGTGAGCAAATTGACAATTTAGGTGCACTCCATCAAGTACCTCCATCACAAAGGGTCGAAATTTTGAATAATATATGACTCTTATAAAATTTGATGTAGAGTCCGATTGTCTTCAAATTACACACATCACAATATTTTTATTAATCCAAGGTCTGGTTTATGGTACCTCCCCCATAAAGGGTCAAAATTTTGAATATCCATGAAGCTTATAAAACGCGAAATCAATCAACAACGATTCCATTCAGACTTGCCATATCTCAATATTTACATCAACAAAAGATCTGTTATAAAGATGGTAGAGATCGTACCATTTCTTCTGATAGCACCCCACAAAGAGTCAACGTTTCGAATAACCAAAACGATCATAAAATCCGAAATTAGTATCCGGTTCTCTTCGTATTTAACACATACCATTATTTCTATTAACAGAAGATCTGGTGTAAAAAAGGAATCTATCGGTTTACTCCTTCTGGTACCTGCCCCACAGAGGGCTAAAATTTTGAATATTCATGAAGCTTATAAAACACGAAGTTAAATTCCGATTCCATTCAGACTTGGTACATCTCAATATTTCCAATAGCACAAGATATGTTATAAAGATGGTAGAGGTCGGACCTTTGCTTCTGGTACCCCCCCCAAAGGATAAAAGTTTTAAATAACCAAAACTTTTATAAAATCCGAAATAAGCATCAGGTTCTCTTTATATTTCACACATATTAACATTTTTGCTATCCCAAGATCTGTTGTGAAGATGGGATATATCGGCTCACTCCTTCTGGTACCTCCCCACAAAGGGTCAACTTTTTGAATATCCATGAGGCTCATAAAACGCGAAATCAACATCCGATTCCATTCAGACTAAATTCTAAATTTTTCTATCAACACAAGATTTGTTGTGAAGATGGTAGAGATCGGACCATTTATTTTGCTACTTGCCCCTGTATTCTGTGCTGTATTAAATGAAGTATGAATATGGAAAACTTCGGTCGATCCTATTTGGTATCTCACACCCATTTTAACATTTTCTAAAAATTATCACATAGCGCATATAAAGTGAAGGAAGTAACCAACATATTCCAAACCTGGTACGTCGCAACATTTATATCATATTTGTTTAGATCCAATAAGAATAATCTTAACGGAAGTCAAAATATATGTAAATAATCGAACATTGGCTGAGGGTATACATCTCTCGGCAAAACCGACTGATAATTTCTGACCTGTTTATATAAAGGTGTATGAAAAAATTGCCAGTCGCCAAGCAAGCTGAGTGTTTGGCCTATCGCCGACACTAATTCTATTATCATTAAATGATAAAAAAAAGCACAAATGAAAACAAATACCATTCATCTTCAATTTCAAAACTTTGTATTGAAAGTATTAGGCACACGCACGTACACCCATACAAATACAAAATAATTTAAAATTGAAAAATTATATCGAAATAATTATGAAATATTACATCAGAATTTTTTTGCGTCACAACAACAATAACAACGAAAATAAACCACTTCTGCTACATTTTTGACCACCAGTGGTCCCCAACAATGATGTGTAGCCCACCATATTCAAGGGATCAATGGATGAGTCAGAGGGAGAGTAGAGTTGCCGCTTCACTTTTGATCGATTTAATACAAATGTCAAATTTATATATTTATTTAAAGTAGAACGCGGTTGAAAAATATGATATCGTAAAAAAGAGCTTTTTGACGACTGCGTTTTATTAAATAGCGATACAAATTGAACACGTACAGGGTGAGATGAAAAAACTGCAACCAATTTTAGACTGCTGTCATTTCTAAGCCTCTCGTCCGACAGCTGTTAATATTATTCCAGTGACAGCTCATCATATTTCTTACAAGTGTACAAAAACATTTTGGTGAGAATTTCCCAGGAAAAAAGTTATTTGTGATGGAATTCAAGCGGAATAGTGTGATTTCTTTATATTTGGCTGGAAAACCACAAGTGGCTATCGTTAGAGCACTCCAGCATTTAAATGTGAATAAATCTTTTGTGTCTCGTACCATCGCTCGTTACCATGATACTGGTAGCGTAGCCCGACGTCAAGGAAGTGGACGGAAGAAAACAGCAACATCAGCAGAAATGGTTCGAAAAGTAAAGAAGCGACTTGATCGAAACCAGCGTCGCAGTTGCCAGACAAATGGCTCGTGAGCTGAACATATCGTAATATTCCATTCGGCAAATGTTGAAAAATGAGCTCGGTATAAAGCCATTGAAATTCCAAAAAGTACAAGAACTTACGCCGCAACAGGAAGAAAATAGACTCAAAAGAGCTAAAGAGTTGCTTCGCTTAGCCAAAAGTGGTGAACTGCCGAATTTGGTTTTCTCCGATGAGAAAACATTCGTTGTCCAGCAGTTTGTAAAGAAACAAAATGATCGTGTTTACTTGCCAAAGAGGTCAGCAGAAAATGTGCACTTTCTGTTAGCCACCAGAACTCAAGCGCCGGCTATGGTGATGGTGTGGGCCGCCATAACAGCCGATTGTCGCTCCCCGCTTGTATTAATCGCTCTTAGGCATCAGAATAAATGCCGATTATCGCGAAAATTTTCTGGAGGGTGTATTAAAGCCTTGGGCACGGAAATATTTTGGTCGCAGACCTTGGACATTCCAACAGGACTCAGCTCCACCGCACTCAGCACGCGCCACCCATATGGTTACAAAATGAAGTTCCTCACTTCATTTCCGGCGCACAATGGCCACCAAAATCTCCGGATACCAATCCGTTGGACTATTGTGTCTGGAGTATTTTGAAAAACAAGGTTGGCACTAAAAAACACCAAAGTGTCGATCACCTCAAGCAAGCGCTTCGCCGGGAATGGGCCAAAATAACGCAGAGCAACATTCGGGCAGCGTATGACGTTTTCATTTCAGTATTCTAAAATTTGATATTTCCGACAGTTTTTGCTTTTTATTGAATGAAAGCAACATAAAACTTAACAAAATGTAAAAATTGTGGCTTTTAACTTTGTTGCAGTTTTTTTATCTCTCCCTGTGTCAACACTACTTTCCCAAATGTTAAGATTTTCACAAAATGCCAAAAGGTACGAAATTGAGCGTTTTTTAATACCTTAAGTACACTTCTAGGCCGAATTTTCAAAAATTCAGCCTTATCTCACACCTACCCGCCAACATTGACCCACATGCAGAATTTCACGATTTTAGCTTCAATCGTTGCACCTGGTATTTGAGTTAGTCAGTCACTCATTTTTTACTCTTTTAGAAGATAGCTGCAGGTCTATGTGAAGAGTATTGAAATTTTAATTCGACCGGGCCGAAATTTGAATACCCTTCACCATTTGGAAGGAATTTGGCAATTTTAAAAAATAAAATACGTTAAATGTTCTATTCAAATCTTAAAAATACCGAATGTAGCCGTTATATTAGGGTCTATACGACGACGTGGACCTGCATAGGCAACTTTTGTCATTACAATATTCAAATGCTAAACTTAAAAAAATCGGTAAAATCATAAAAATACCGAATATAGGGAGGTACCGTTATATGGGGGCTATTTGAAGATGCGGACCTGCACAGACAATGTTCTGTTACAGGCTGTAGTATCCGTTACGAACTTCAAATATCAAATGGAACATTTCCAGTGAATAATGTCGCTTAAATCACCAAAATATCGAAAATAGGGAGGTGCGTTATATGGGGGCTATACGAAGACGTGGACCTGCACAGACAATTTTCTGTCATAGGCTGTAGTATCCATTACGAACATTAAATACCAAATTAAAAAAAAATCCGGTGAATAATGCGGTACCGTTATATGGGGCCTATACGACTACGTCGACCTGCACGGACAACTTTCGGTCATAGGCTGAACTTCAAATACCCAATTTGAAACAATTCCGGTAAATATTGTCGTTAAAATCATCAAAATACCGAATATTGAAAGGTTCCGTTATATGGGGGCTACAAGAAGACGTGGTCCTGCACAGACAATTTTCTGTCATAAGCTGTAGTATCCACTACGAACTTGAAATACCCAATTTAAAACAGTTCCGGTGAATAATGTCGCTTAAATCACCAAAATACCGAAAATGGGGAGGTACCCTTATATGGGGGATATACAAAGACGTGGACCTGCACGGCCAATTTTCTGTCATATGCTGTAGTATCCATTACGAATTTCAAATAACAATTCCGGCGAATAATGTAACTAAAATCATCAAAATACCGAATATTGGGAGGTACCATACTATGATCGAGGTTATAAAAAAAATTGATTGCAACAACGTTTTTGGGCCAAAATCAATACGTAGTTTACAGGTTTTAAAAACACAAATGGCAACACTACCAATAAGGTATGCTTGTATGTATATTTGTGTACACAAAGTGTTTTTTTTTTTTAATTCTATTTTGTATTGATATGTAATGAAATGTACAAACAAACAACCATTCGACATTTAGTTGTTCTCTTGGCTTGGTATGGTCAACAACGAGCACGGAAGAATTTTTTTCAACTTTTTTTATGAATAAGGGAAAATTTTTACTTTTTTCTAATTATTTAACCATTAAAAGAAAAGTACGTCGTTTGATATAGAACAGATTTTTTTCACTACTGCATTAGAAGAAGATATGAATTTTTTTCATGACTCATATTGGGAGGCAAAGCTAATTTATATACATGCTTTGATATCATTGATAGCAAATTCATTATAGCATTATGAAATATATATGAGTCATTTCACACATATACTTAAGAGATTTACTTTAGACGCAATTTTTTATTCAAATTTTGGGTTTAGGTTTAGCATGAGGGATCCTTTTTTAATTTTTCAGGTTATTTTTTACTTTTATCCTCTAGGGATTTTTATAATTTAATTTAAAATTTATTGTAATTTTATTTTTATTTACACCACAATCCCCTTTTGCCATTGATTGCCCCTTATGTTTTTTATTTCTGACATTTTCCTGTTCTTGCGCAGTGGCTTATTTTTTCTTCTATAAATTCTCTGTAATACCACTTTGACTCTCAGCTCTCTTTTCACATTTTCAATGTCAAAGAAAAGAAAACAAAACAATTTACCGCTCAATTACAATGTACCAAAGCAACAGGCCATATATTTGATAGAAAAAAAAGTAATATACTTTTTTTTAAATAACTATTTTTATATTATTAATATTATATTTATTAATAATAATTAAATATTAATTATTATTTTTTTATATTTTCCAGAATTTCATAATTTTTACCCCAAAATGACTGAGGAGAAGAAATCCAAATTGAGCGATGCCAACAATACACTGGTCTACAAACCGACAACGTTGCCGAACAAATCCAAATCGAAACATCGCGACAAAAGTGATTTGGGTCCAAATTTTGTGGCACCCGATGGAGGTTGGGGCTGGGTTGTGTGTATAGCTGCCGGTTTCAGTAATGTGAGTATTGAAAAGAGAATATAAGGGTGTAAGATGTCTGAAGAAGTTCGAAAATTCGAAAAAGTGTTTATTTCGACCAAAAGTATCGAAATTTTAAATTTTTGCGGTCTTAGTGCATTCGATACTGACTGTGTACTCATCCGACTTCGATTTCAAAAATAAAGAATAAAAATCGGTATAAACTTGAAAAAAAAAATAATAACGTGAAGTGTTAACCATTTGACATATAAAGAAAATATCAAAGACAAAAGCAACCTTTTTTATGCGGAACAAAGCTTCTTTCTTCCTTTCAATAACTCGTTTTAATATGCTTACAAATCGGTGCCTGTGTCAGATTTTTTCTGCAGAATTTTTTATCAAATCTCGAATAACCAAAAATTAAATATAAAGCCAAAAATCAGATGGGTTGCCAATTTTTCCGTTTTTTGGACATTTGGGAAGGGAGTAACCGATTTGGTCGTAATATTATTGTCAAACATAGATCGAGTTCGGAGATGTCAATATCGGTTCCCTCCATCTGCCAACTCCTCCATAACTCGACATTTTCAAAGAAGAAATAATTCACCTCATAGAAAGAGAAAGGATCATTTGATTTAATGCAAACTTTGCAAATTGTGCAATGTCTGGTGTCAACATGGGCAATATCGTCCCACTCCTTTATGTCTCTCCCCCACACAGCTTCAAAATTTTGAATAATTGCGACTTATAAAAAAAGTGAAATAACAGTCCAATTGTCTTCAAATTTTGCACATCCCAATGTTTCTACCAACACGCGATCTTGTGTGAAGACGAAATATATCGGCCCACTCCGTCAGTTTTCTCTCCCACAAAGGGAAAGCATTCAATTGTCTTCAAATTTCGCACATCCCAATTCATTTACAAATCTGGCATCAAAAACGTATAGAACGGAATTTTCCTTCAGTTACCTCCAATACCATTTTGAATAACCTCACTTCCACCAACACAAGACCTAGTATGGAGATAGGATACATCTACCCACTCCTTCTGGTACCTTCCCCATAAAAATTTTCAATAATTATGTCTCTCATAAAATGAGAAATAAGTATCTGATTCTTTCTAAACTTGCAACATTCCAATATTTCTACTAACACAAGATCTGTTGTGTAGATAATTGATATCGGTCCACCCATTTGCTATCCCCCCACAAGTCAGCTATTCTTTTTAAATTTGTTGCATCTAACTATATTTCTTTTGATGTGAATAAGAAATCTATGGGCCACTCATTGAGGTACCTTCCCTACACAAAACCTGAATATTTTAAATATCAATTTTCGCATAGAATTCGAAATAAATGTTCGATTTTTTTTTTTCAATTTTGCACAAACCAATATTTTTATCAGATTTAGATGAAGTGGAATATGTCTGTCTGCTATATATGCTACCACACGTATATTTCATATTTTTCCAAAAACTATCTTATATATCATAACATGTGAAGAAAGTAGTCGAAATATCCAAAATCTAGTATGTTGTAATATTTATATCAGACTTATGTCAGATACGAATGAACCACTTCTTTGGGAGACCATATAAAAGGTCACCAGTTTGAAAAATTATAACGCAAGTCTGGGGGTATGTATCTGTCGGCAAAACCAATTGATACTATTTAACTTGTTTAAATATTTTTGGATTTTTATACCCTCAGCCATGTGGCTACAGAGGGCCAAATCGTGCCTCATACGGCCAAATAATGCCTCATCGAAATAACGGTTTTAGACCCAGATCTCTTTGGACCAAATCCGTTTCACGACATTTCGAGTCGATCTAGCGATGTCCGTCCGTCTGTTTTTCTGCCTGTCTGGTTGGCTGGTGCGCACGATAACTCTCGAATGGATTATCCGATTTGGCCCAAACTTAGTACATCGTAATATAATTGTCAAACTTTCTGGTGCCTCCCCCACAAAAGATCGAAATTTTCAAATAAAAATTCAAAGGATCCGATTTTGCTCCAACTTTGAAAATCCTAATATTTGCATCACTGCTAGGTCAGGTACAAAAATGGACAACATCGGTCCACTCCATCAAGTATCATCCCTAACATTTTGAATAACATTTTGAATAATTATAACCCTTACAAAATGTGATGTAAGAGTCAGATTGTCTTCAAAATACACACATCACCATTTTTTATTAACCCAAGGTCTGGAAAGAGATGTTGGAATATATCGGTCCACTCCTTTTCGTACATCCCCCACAAAGGGTCAAAACTGAAAATTGAATACCCATGAAGCTCATAAAACGCGAAATTAACATCCGATTCAATTCAGATATATCTCAATATTTCCATCAAAACGAGGTCTGTTATCTTTATGACAGAGATCGGACCATTCCTTCTGATACCTCCCGCACAACGGGTAAATGTTTTGAATAAGCAAAACGATTATAAAAGCCGAAATAAGAATCCGGTTGTCTTAATTCTTCACATATCCCATTATTGCCACTGCCACAAGATTTGCTATAGAGATGGGATATATCGGTCCACTCCTTCTGGTACATCCCCCACATAGGGTTCAAGATTTTGAAATACAAAACGCTCAAATAAAGCAAAATAAACATCTAACTCTCTTCAAATTTCAAAGACTCAAACATTTTTGCTCGGTCGACTGTACCTGGCACCTCACGCAATTTTAACATTTTCTAAAAATTACCACATGTATGATGTAAAGTAAAGGAAGTTACCAACCTGCTTCCAAGTTGCCCCATATTTATATCGTAATTATTAGACACTAAATAGAGAATATTGGCCCATTCCCTCAAAACCCATTCCATAGAGGGTCAACAGTCTGAGTAATCCTAACAGAAGTCAAAATATATTCAAATAATCGAACTATGGCTGAGGGTATACGTCTGTCGGCAGAACCGATTGATACTTTTTAAACTGTTTTTTTTTTTTTTTTTTTTTTTTTGTTTTTGAAAATTTTAACCTTTTGTGGGAGATGTACTAGAAGAAGTGGACCGACATTGCCCATCTCCGAACTCAATCTAAGTTTGATAATAATATTACGATGTACCAAGTTTGAACCAAATCGGATACATCTTCGAGAGTTATCGTTGGCACCAGCCTGCAGACAGACGGACTGACATCGCTAGATCGACTTCAAATGTCCTTAAATGGATTTGGTCCAAAGAGACGTAGGATCTAAAACCGTTATTTCGATGAGACACGTTTTGGCCGTATCAAATGATATATACCCTCTACCGCCATGTGGTTCACCCTTCGTGGAGGTGAGGAGGTGTGTTGACTCGTTGTTGAGGAGAAAGAAATCAGAAGAAATTGTCCATGCTATTCTATCTTCATAGCAGATCTAGAGCTGAAAGAAATATTAAAGGCAATAGGACTATTATTTCACATTTTAAAAGGTTTATATTTGTTCAAACTTTTAACCCTATGTGCGAGAGGAACTAGATAAAATGGGGCAATGTTGTCCGTCCCCCATACCTTATCTAACATAGATATAAATATTAGAATTTGGAAAATTTGAACAAAATCGGATGATTCTTGCCCGTTCTAGGAATTAAATTATTTTCTATGAAAGTTTGGACTTTTTGTGGCGGAGGTTCCAGAAGGATTGGACCGATATTGCCCACCTCCGAACTCGACCTAAGTTTATTATAAGTGTTACGATGTACGGAACAAATTCGATGTTCTTTCAAGAGTTATCATGCTAACAAGCCAGCAGGCGGACATAGGGACACTGCTATATCGATCCAAATGTCTTGGAACGGATTTCGAGCAAAGAAAAGTAGGGTATAAAACTGTCATTTCGACGAGGCATATTTTGGCCACATTAATCTCATATATAGTCATACAATTGAGGGTATTTTTTTTATACACTCCACCATAGTATGGAGGGTATATTAAGTTTGTCATTCCGTTTGTAACACCTCGAAAAAATACATTTTAGACCCCGCAAATAAATATATATTCTTGATCAGCATAAAATTCTATGTCGATTTAGCGATGTCCGTCCGTTTGTCCGTCACTCTAGCTTCTAAACGAAATTAAGTAGATTGATAAAAGTTTACTCAAATGTATATTATGTCTGCAGGACTTTTGGTATTGAAAATGAGCCACGTAGGTCCACGATTTGGTATAGCCCCCATATAACGATACCTCCCGATATTCGGTATTTTGATGGTTTTAGCGACATTATTCACCGGAATTGTTTGAAATTTAGCATTTGAAGTTCGTAATTGATACTACAGCCTAAGACAGAAAATTGTCTGTGTAGGTCCACGACTTCATATTGCCCCCATATAACGATACCTCCCGATATTCGGTATTTTGATGGGTTTTATCGACATTATTCACCGGAATTGTTTCAAATTTGGTATTTGAAGTTCGTAGTGGATACTACAGCCTATGACAGAAAATAGTCTGTGCAGCTCCACATTTTGAAGTAGCCCCAATATAATAGTAATAGTACGATTTTAGCTACATTATTCACCGATTTTTTTTCAAGTTTAGCATTTAAATATTTTTATGGCTTATGACAGAAATTGCCTATGCAGGTCCACGTCGTCGCTTAGACCCTAATATGACGTCTACATTTGATATTTTTAAGATTTTAACAGAAATTTTTAACGGATTTTATTTTTTTGAAAATGGCCAAATTTGTTCCAAATGGTGGAGGGTATTCAAAGTTCGGCCCGGTCGAAATTACATCTTTTTTACTTGTTTTTTTTTTTTTTATTTTTATAGAGTCTCTTTGCATTGCATCTGAATTCATTTTCCCATGTCAATAAATTATTTGATTTTTATCTATTCTCTAGCTATCAATATTCCCGCCACTACAACAATATGGCCTTATCTACCGGCAACGTATGGAAAAATCCAAATTCGATGCCCAACAAATTACAACAATCATTAATGCGGAAATGGCTTTATCGGCAATTATTGGCCTTGTCAATGGGGCCATGTTTCGGCGATTCACCTTCCGGCAGGTGGGTATGGTGGGAAGTCTACTGGCGTTTACGGGAATTTTTTGTACGGCATTTTGTGAAAATTTCATAGAATATTTGGTGTGTTTTTCGTCGATTTATGGTGAGTGGAAATCAGAAAAAAAATAATTTCATAAATTTTGAAAATAATTTAGAAATTTTGAAATTAAATTTAAAATTTTGTATCTTTACATTCAGGTATTGGCCGGGGTCTTATTACGGCCTCAAATTCCTTGGCTGTAAATACTTACTTCAAAAACAAACGGCGACGGGCAACGGGTTTTACATGGACCATTACAGGCTTAGGTGCCGTTATATTCCCGCATGTTTCGACCCTATTGCTGGGTGTCTATGGAGCCCAGGGTTCAATTCTAATCTATTCGGCCATAATGTTAAATGCCTTTATGTGTTCTCTGACATTGCAGCCGGTTTTGTGGCATTCTCCCAAACCCGCTGCAGCAGAGGCGGTGGCAGAGCAGGAGCATGGAAAGGACAATGAAATTCCAATCAAATGTGAATATTGTCTGAAACGAGAAAAAGAAGAGCAAGAGGAAGAATTGGAAAAGTCGGAATATGAAATAACCGTGCCCGGTACACCCATGGTAGCCCGGGCCAATGATGGTTGGTTTGGTTCAAAATTGTCACTGAACAAAGAGACGAGGACCTCTCACAATCGTAGGCGTCATGTGTCCCAGCAGAATAGTTGTGAGAGTGGCTACGAGTTGGAGGAAAGAAAATCGTCCGAAAAGCAGTATGGTCCACAAAGTTTACACTGCACTTGTGCCGAGAAAAAAGCCCTCTTGGAGCAGAATAGTAAAAACAAACAAGAAGAGGAGGAGGAAGCCCAACGAAAAGCTCTTCTCGAAGAAGAGGAGCAAGAGACCTTACGCAGACGTCACCTTTCTGTGGCCCAGAAAATCATTCTCTTTTTCGATTTGGACCTCCTCAAAGATTTCACCTTTGTCAACCTGGCCGTCGGCATGACTATCATGATGTTTGGCGAAGTTAATTTTTCAGTTCTGACCCCCTTTATTTTAAATAGTTTCGGTTACAGTGACGGACAAATATCTGTGGCCATGTCCTGCTTGGCTGGCATGGATATTGGGGTGCGGTTTTTGGCCCCACTGCTATTGGAGAGGGTTAAACTTTCCAATAGCGTATTGTTTGCTTTCGGAATTGTTGCCGTTTCGATTGGTCGTTTTATTGTCACCCAAACCGATTCGTATCATGTCGTATTGGCGGTGTTTGTTTTGATTGGTTTTGGCAAAGGGTTTCGCACAATTTTCTCACCCCTGATAATACCCAGTTGTGTGCCACTGAAGCGTTTACCAGCCGCAGCAGGGCTGCAGCTTATTTTCAGTTCAATTGTGTCATTTTCGTTGGGGCCATTGTTGGGTAAGTTTTGGGATGAACGGTAATTTTTTTATGTTTTTCATTTTTTTTTTATCCTTTTAGGTTCTATTACCGATCGATTTGGTTATGCGGTAACCATCCACTGTATTAATGCCCTCACTGGGCTGATGTTATTATTTTGGATATTTGAATCCTTTATTCGAAGGAGTTTTAAGAAGAAATCACCCACATGTGATTCATGAAATATTTTATTAACTATTTTAGGTTTTGATTTTCTATATTTTAGGCTGTATCGGAAATCTCTTTTTTTGCAGGCTTTTTAAAACGTATGGAAGACATGCTGATGTTTTACGGCTCCCTAAAGAAAAATGTACGTACGCAAAGGATATGAGACGAGAATTGAATTTCGGTGTTGTAATTTCGTGTCCACACACGACAATTTCTATAAAAATTAGTTATTAAGAAACTCGCCATAGTGAAAGTACTCCATTGTGGATACTGAAATGAAAGACTAGAACCCTAGGAATCCTATAGCCGTTTAAGGCTTAGACAACAAAATTGTATTCTTTTAAGGAGTTCTTCACTGTGAAATTTCCATTTAAGATTCTAATTTTTTTAACTATGATTTGATAGAAAAAAGAAAGTTACAAGGTCCTCCGCCTCATATTTGAAATTTTAAGAATTTTTTGAAAACCCGTCCTAAATTTCACTTTTAATATATAACGTCGTTCTGGTATCATTTTTATACCCTCAGCTATAGAGAGTATATATCATTTGATACGGCCAAAACGTAACTCATCGAAATAACGACTTCAGACCTTAGGTCTCTTTGGACCAAATCCCTTTCAAGACATTTGGAGTCGATCTAGTGATGTCCGTCCATCCGTCTGTCTGGCTGGAGCGCATGAAAACTCTCGAAGGGAGTATCCGATTTGGTCCAAACTGAGTACATTGTAATATTTTTGTCAAGAAGGGAGTATTCGATTTGGTCTCGACTTAATAAATGGTAATATTATTGTCAGATTTAGCTCGAGTTCGGAGGTGGACAAAAGCGGTCCACTCCTTCTGGTACCTGCCCCACAAAAGGTCAACATTTTTAAAGAAAATAATTTACCTCATAGAAATAGAAAAAATCGTTCGATTTTGTGCAAACTATACATATACAAATATTTTTGCCAGTGATAGGTGAGGTGCGAAAATGGACAATATCGGCCTACTCCATCAGGTAACTCCCCCACAAAGGGTCAAAATGTTGAATAATTGTAACTCTTATAAGATTTGATATAGGAGACCGATTTTTTTTCAAATTTTACACATCCCAATATTTTTGTTATGAAAATATCTGGTGTGAAGATGAGATATATCGGTATACTCCGTATGGTACTTCCCCCACAACGGGTCAAAAATTTGAATAACCTCGGAGCTCGTAAAACGCGAAATGAGCATCCGATTCTTTTCAAATTTCACACATTCCAATACTTCTACTTAAGCAATAGCTGGTGTGAAGATGGTAGATATCGGACCACTCCTTCCGATACCTCCCTCACAAAGGGTCAAAATTTTGCCCAATGCTTTAATACAACCCCCCCCCCCCCCCCCCCAAGAATATTTTCGCGATAATATTCGGCATTTATTCCAATGCCACGGTCGATTAATACGAGCGGAGAGCGATCATCGGCTGTTATGGCGGCCCACACCACCACAATAGCCGGACTTTGAGTTCTAGTGGCCAACTGAAAGTGCACATAAACTGCAACCAACTTCAGACTGTTGTCAATTCTAAGCCACTCGTCCGACAGCTGTTGAAATTATTCCAGTGACATCTCATTATATAGGAACATCGGCAAAAATGGTTCGAAAAGTAATGGAGCGACTTGATCGAAACCCACGTCGCAGTGGCCGAAAAATGGTAAATATTAAAAAATGAGCTCGGGGTTAAGCCATGGAAATTCCAAAAAGTGCAGGAACTTACACCACAACAGAAAGAAAAAACACTCAAAAGAGCTAAAGAGTTGCTTCGCTTGGCCGAAAGTGGTGAACTGCCGAATTTGGTTTTCTTCGATGAGAAAACAGTCGTTGTCCAGCAGTTTGTAAACAAACAAATTGATCGTGTTTACTTTCCAAGGAGGTCAGCTGAAAATGTGCACCTTCAATTGGCCAACAGAACTCAAGCGCCGGCCATGGTGATGGTGTGGGCCGCCATAACAGCCGTATTAACATTGTGGCATCAGAATAAATGCCGAATACTATCGCAAAAGTATTCTGGAGGGTGTATTAAAGCCTTGGGCGCTCAGACCTTGGACATTCCAGCAGGACTCAGCACATGCCACCCAAGAATGGTTACAAAATAAGGTTCTCGCTTCATTTACAACTCACAATGGCCACAAAAATCTCCAGATAACAATCCGTTGGACTATTGTGCCTGGAGTATTTTGGAAAGCAAGGTTGGCACTAAAAAATACCAAAGTGTCGATCACCTCAAGCAAGCACTTCGCAGGGATTGGGCCAAAATACTGCAGACAACATTCATTGACCATTTGAAGATCATAATTCGTGGTAAAGGTGACCAATTCGAACAAATCTAAACTTATTCTAAAAGTTGGTGCTATACCGTTTGACTTTGTTGCAGTTTATTTTTATCTCACCCTGTACAGATCCACGTTTTCGTATGACCCGCATATGACGGTACCTCCCCACTCAATATTTCACTTTTTCGTATAGTGCCAATTTAAATTTGCCTTCTGATATCAGATATTTTGAAGATTTGTTATCAATTATAATATAACTGTAGAAATCTTATCTCAAAAATCAAATCAGTTAGGGTCCCTATATAGTATATCATTCCAATTTAAATACTCTCTTATTCTAGATAATTAGAATCCTTATTTAAGGGCCTTTCTCGGACAAGGGGTTCTTTGCGCTTCAAGTGGATATAACATATCCAGGCACAAATTTTTCACTCCGTTATATTCGTTCAATGGAGGAGGGTGTAAACCCCACACTTTAAAAAGGGTTTCTCACCTTAGATTATAGAGATTTGCCGCAAAAAATGAATTTCGAAAACAACAACCTAACATACAGTTCGATACATTGATAAATAGGTATGCGCCTACGTAAGTACAACACGAAAACGAGCACAATATTTGAACAAAAAAAATATTTTATCACAACATTGACTTAATTGAAAACATATTTGAAAAAAGGCTTTCAGATAACGGTAAGTATAACAAACCGCTGGAATTAGATTGGTTCTTACCACGACAAAAATCATACCGCTGACATTGAGCAATTAGATTTCTATCGTGGAAAATATTCATTAATGAAACATGAAGTACTGCAAATATGAGATTTTCTTAATATTTTCAAAAGTAAAATATTGGTAAGAAATTGAGGAAAATACAAATTAAAAAAAAAAATATGGGTTATCCATAGATAATAGCCAATTTATCAGTCTCCTGCAGGAAACGAATGGTTATCGTAAAACCATAGCCAATAAAAAAGTTATAAACCAGGAAATGCTTTCTGAGTATATTCGAAGTTTATCGCGCTGCTCATTTCAGAATGTTCGACTATTTGATAAACAAAGGACAGTATGTGGTTAGTTTTACTACCGAAATCGTCTTCGAAATATTCTCCAGGATTTTACAAATTTACTCTATAGAGACCAGCCCATCACACATTTTATATAGTGCTTTTAAAGGTTTTCTGTGATAGGTTGCCTTCAAAAGATCTTGATTAGACTGAGAACTTTAACAAACGCTTTTAAAACTTCTTTTCACTGAAAATCTTTCGAATAATAAATAATATTTCTAGAAGCCCACCACGAGGTATTCGGCCCATACAGGAGCCTCGAGAGTTTCTCTGTGTGTAGAAGTCCTTCTAGTGATCTGTCCAAGGCCTTGTCACAATGTAAGTCCTTCAAGAGGCGTTCCATATAAACATTCTTCTCAGGGGGTTTTCTATTTATGTAAGGTCTTCCAAGGTCCGTAGAGTATTCTTAGTTGGAAGAACTTAAATACTTTAAAAGCGTTTGAAACACCTTTGTAGGTTAAAGACCTGATGATATGATAATGTCTTATATCTTCGGAAAACTCACTGCAGATTTCTCATAGATAGAAGACATCTTAAAGGGCTACTGTAGATGTAAAAATTTTGGAATGGCATATCTCTATATCTGCGTCCTGAAGAGCATCTATAGCTGGAAAACCTTCTAAAAACAGGTGAATTTTACGAGATCTTCTATGTTTTTGAAGATGTCTAGAAAAGGCTGTTAGGAAGACTTCAATCAATAGAATATCTTCAAAATATCATCCGTCAGTAAAAGCTTCTTATATAATATTTTTTTTAAAAGAGATCGTTATAAAAGATATTCTCTTTAAAGATCTCGACAGCAGATATTTAAAAATCCTCTAAAGATGTAAATATAAAAAAATCTGGAAGGACCTCTGAAAGCCATCTATGGGTAGAATACCTTCTAAAAATAATCTCTAGATGGAAGACCTTCTAAAAATGCATAGAGGACATTTTACAGGTTACTTTTATCAGATATATATATCTGAAGAGGGCTTTTGGGAATCAATAGAAGATCTTACAAACAGCGCCCATCAATAGAAGGTTTAAAGATTATATTTTTGTTAAAGAGATCGTTATAAAAAAATTGATAGAAGATTATTTAAAGGTATTTAACAAATAAGCCTTTATACGAGCATGTATGGATGAGATCTTCTAAATTGCATTTAAAATCTTTTTAGGTATAAAAAAGGTCTATCTTCAAAGTCCCGGAAACTACATCAACACAAATATTTTTATTATAAAAAAAAAAACAAAAGTTCTATAGATTTTCAAATTGGAACTACATTTTTTGAAGCTTCGATAGAAAGAAATCAGTTACTTTTTTTGAAAAAGGTCCTCCTTACACGTGATATATGAAGGACCTACCACCTTTGCATGCAAATGCGCCAAAAATCTTTAAGAACTAAAAAAGGAGATAAGTTCGTTCGGCGGCATTTTTAAAACCTTTAAAATTAAAATTATGTGGATCGAAAATTCGAGTGATTTGTATTAGGTATTGAATGGGAACCAGGTTCAGGACAAAATTTCGATTTGTATAGAATAATAATTTCTTTGGGAAATTTATTTTAAGATCTGAAACTATAACAAATTTATCATTTTTTATGAAACTATATATCAAAAATTGCCAAAATTTCAACATGTTTTTCAATACCACCGTGCTTATAAACTTTTACAAAAAACGAGCAAAATTTTTCAACCCAATAAGATTTTCGATACCGCCTACAATATATGTTAAATGCTTTAAAAACTAAAAATATATGTACGTACTCATAAAGTGATATGTAAATACAATTTTGTATAAAATAACATAAAAAATACAATAAAATAAATTGAATAAAAAAAATATTTAAATATAAAAAATGCCCAACTATTGTTTATGACCTGAATGCCTACCACAGGAAATGGTAAGTATGGCTTATTTATTATAATATTTATTTATTTGAATATATAACAAAAAACTAGGCCATAACCGGAAGGATAACTTAAAAATCCGGTGGAGACCACTTTAAAGTGTAGCCTGGGGATTTGGCAACGATGGAACGATGGCTTTTCTACACCTTCTAATTCAAAAGAAATTTGGTTGCGCCCTAAAGTATGCAATGTCTGTTCATCCTAAACAACAGGAATCTATATCTATATTGATAAAAGAGTAACAAGCCGGTACGAACTTTTAATACCCTACACCATTTGGAATTAATTTGGGAATTTTCAAAAAATAAAATCCTTAAAATATTCTTTTAAAATTTTAAAAATCCCGAATATAGCCGTTATTTTGGGGTCTAGACGACGTGGACCTACAGAGGCATTGTTTGTCATAAGCCATTACCATATTCAAATTCGAAACTTGAAATAAACGGTCAATAATGTAGCTGAAATCATCAAAATATCGTACATAGGGAGGTACCATTATATCGGAGCTGTGCGAAGACCTGGACCAGCATAGACAATTTTCTGTCACAGGCTGTAACATCCATTACGAACTTCAAATACGACATCTCAAACAATTTCGGTGGGTATTGTACCTAAAATCGTCAAAATACCGAATATAGGGAGGTACTGATATATGGGGTCTATACAAAGACCTAGACCTGCATAGACAATTTTCTGTCACGGACTGTAGTTCCCAATACCAACTTCAAATATTTAATTTGAAACTATTCTGGTGAGTAATGACGCTATATATGTATATGTATATGTATATATATATATATATATATATATATATATATATATATATACATATATATATATATATATATATATATATATATATATATATATATATATATATATATATATATATATATATATATATATATATATATATATTTATTATATATATTATATATATATGATTGGTCCCGAGTGTCTAAAATTCCAGACCTATCCTTTCACAAACTATGAAATGTAATACCATTTAGTACTTTTCATACAATTATATGACCCTTTTCCATATCTAATCTCAACCTCAAGTACGATCAATAATCTAAATATGAAATTTCAGTCTTTTATATATATATATATATATATATATATATATATATATATATATATATATATATATATATATATATATATATATTTCAGTATTTTATATATATACATTTTTCACTGACCTCTTGCACTTTTTGGAATTTGAGAATATTGCGATATTGAGAAATGTAGATCATTTTAGATATGGGCACTGCATGGTTCTACATATATATATATATATATATACATATATATATATATATATATATATATATATATATATGTATCCCTTCATCGAATTCTAAATGTAGAACCATGCAGTGCCCATATCTAAAATGATCTACATTTCTCAATATCGCAATATTCTCAAATTCCAAAAAGTGCAAGAGGTCAGTGAAAAATGTATATATATAAAATACTGAAATATATATATATATATATATATATATATATATATATATATATATATATATATATATATATATATATATATATATATATATATATATATAAAATACTGAAATTTCATATTTAGATTATTGATCGTACTTGAGGTTGAGATTAGGTATGGAAAAGGGTCATATAATTGTATGAAAAGTACTAAATGGTATTACATTTCATAGTTTGTGAAAGGATAGGTCTGGAATTTTAGACACTCGGGACCAATCATAAAGTTTATAGCATTTTCCGATAAAAGGATTAAATTTGAGCCTAAACCTTTTGACTACAGAGGACACAATGTTCCAATGTTCCTCATCTAAATAACAGTTAAGACCTTAGGTTTCTGTTTCAGGACATTTAAAGTCGTCCGTGCATTCATTGTATGCGAGCGCGAAAGGAGGCATGGTCCAAACTTGGTACATTCTAATTTTTACCAAACTTTGATCAGGTTTGGATATGGATACCATAGGTAAACTAGATTTCGTACCTCTCTTAAAAAGCGAAATGAGAATCTGATTTATTTCAAACTAGCATCAAGATGGAATTTTCGGCCTACTTCCTACGATAACTTCCCGCACTAACGATCAGAATTTTTAATAAGCATGACACTCATAAAATACGAAATAAGTATAGAATTCTCTTCAAATTTCACACATCAAAATATGTTTACTAACGCAAGATCTGGTGAGAAATTGCTATATATTGGCCCACCGCTACGTTGTGTTTCATTATTTTCAAACTTGTTATATCTATATATTTCTCTCAACCAGTGTATATATCTATATATTTCTCTCTTCAAGTGAATTTTGGAATTCAACGGACCATTGCATCTGGTACCTCCCGCACAAGAGGAAAAATTTTTATGACAAATTATCCAATAAATAAATGTTTGAATCTCTTTAAATTTGGCACATCCCAATATTTTTTATCAGTATCATTATGAAGTAAAATACTTCAGTACATCAGGTACCTCACGCACATTTCGGCCATTTCAATGAATCACTTGAGTTTCAATCTGAATTTCACATGTATTCCATTTTATTACACCAGACGAACCATTCTTCAATCATAGAAGTGCTATTATTTCACACGCACACACACGACTGATACTAGTAGCTCTCGTTCTCTTGTAAATCTCCCAATCAACCCAAGGAATGCGAGAGAGAGAGAGTAGTGGTGAGAGATTTGCAAGAAGTACCTTTCTAATGTTTTGCGATATTTGTTATGAAATCGTTTTTTGACCAAACCAAACAAACCGGCATCAACAGTTCAGTTATTGTTGTTGCCCAGAGTATTCTACAGCACACACCGCCCGGAGTAAATAAATAGATATTCGTAGTTTGTGAATGAGAACGAAAACGAAAACGTCCGGCACGTGAAGATTAATTACCAAAACAAACATATTGTAAAGTACGGAAAAATTTTATTTTTTACATAAATCCGACGTCATCGAATACCAAGGGGATTGTTTATGAAATAGAGCCCTTTCTCTAAATTATTTCCACGTGAATAGTTTTTTGGTTGCTTAGAAAGTGGTTGAATGTATCTTTCAATGTTTAATTGTGAACAAAGATAATTATAATAAATTACACTGTGCGACAGCAAAAAGACACACACTTGCTATAATGTTCCGATTTTGGTGGCCACAGATGACGAATATGCCTTTGGGGTTTCTGAATGACTTTGAAAATTGATTTTAACCGGAAAATATAGAGAAAATCCGAATTTTTCGGATTTTTAACTTTAAACGGGCATTTAAGAACGGATTTTGAACTTTCCAACAAATCAAAGTAACTGTGGTTTACGTGCGAAAAATCTAGTTAAAAATTATCATTCGATTATATCGGCCGATGTATACCCTCAGCCAATGTTCGACTATTTGAATATATTTTGACTTCTGTTATGATTATTCAAATTGTTGACCCTCTTCCGAAGGAATGGGGCAATATTATACATTTTGTATCGGAACTAAGTAAATATGATACAAAAATTGCGACGTGTCAGATTTGGACAATATCGACCACTTCCTTCACTTTATACGAGATATGTGATAATTTTTAGAAAATGTTAAAATTTGAGTGAGGACCAGATAGAGTCGACCGAAGTATTACATTTTCATGCTTCATCGAAAACAGATATAAATATTGGTATGGACAAAATTGCAAGAAAATCGAACATTTATATCCAATTTTATGCGATATCATAAATTCCATATTCATCTCAGGTTTCTGGATGAAAGAAATATTTGGATACAGCAAGTTGTAAAGAATAGCTGACTTGTTTCGCAAGTTATGACGGATAAAAGTATTGAAAAGTGTGACCCTTTCTTAGTGAGGTTCCAGAAGGGGTTCGCAGATATATATCATCTTCACACCAGATCTTGTGTTAGCAAAAATGTTTGGATGTGTGAAATTTGAAAATAGTTTGATGCCTTTTCGCGTTTTATGGGTGTTTTGTTTTTCAAAATCTTGAACCCTATGCGGAGGAGGTACCAGAAGGAGTGCGCCATCTCCACAGCAGATTTTGTGTTAGTAGAAATAATGGGATGTGTGAAATTTGAAGAGAACCGGTATATCCCTTCTTCACAGCAGTCCTTGTGTTAATAAAAATAATGGGATGTCCGAAATTGTTGATGTTTATTTCGCATTTTATGATCGATTTGGCTATTCAAAATTTTGACCCTTTGTGGAGGAGGTACCAGAAGGAATGATCCGATCTCCACCACATTTATAACATTTCTTGTGTTGATGGACATTTTGAGATGTACAAAGCTTAATTGGAATCGGAAGTTAATTTCGTGTTTTATCAGCTTAATGGTTATTCAAAATGTTGACCCTTTGTGGGGGAGGTACCAGAAGGAGTGGACCACCTTCACAGCAGATTTTGTGTTAGTAGTAATAATGGTAAATGTGAAATATGAAGAGCACCGGATGCTAACTTCGGATTTTATAAACGTTTTGGTTATTCAAAACTTCGACACTTTTTGGGCGTAGGTACCAGAAGAAATGGTCCGACCTCTACAATCTTTATAACAGATCTTGTGTTATCGAAAATGTTGAGATGTTTTAAATATGAAGAGAGAGAGGTTATTCAAAACTTTGATCCTTTGTGGGGGAGGTACCAGAAGAAATGTTCCGATCTTTACCATTTTTATAACAGATCTTGTGTTGATGGAAATATTGAGATGTGCCAAGTCTGAATGGAATCGGATGTTAATTGCGCGTTATATCAGGTTCGTGATTATTCAAAATTTTGACCCTTTGTGGGGGAGGTACCAGAAGTATTAGACCAATATATTCCAACGTCACACCAGAACCTGGATTAATAAAAATATTGTGGTGTGTAATTTGAAGACAATCGGAAACTCACATCACATCTTAGACGAGTTATAAGTATTCAAAATGTTGACCCTTCTTGGTTTAGGTAGCAAAAGAAGTGGTCCGATCTCTACCATTTTTATAACAGATCTTGTGTTGATTGTAATATTGCGATGTGCCAAGTCTGAATGGAGTCGGATGTTAATTTCACGTTTTATCAGCTTCATGTATATTCAAAATGTTGACCCTTTGTGGGGTAGGTACCAGAAGGAATGGACCGATATTTTCCATTTTCACACTAGACCTTGGGTTAATAAAAACATTGTGATGTGTGTAATTTGAAGATAATCGGACGCTTACATTACATTTTATATGAGTTATAATCATTCAAAATTTTGTCCCTTTGTGGGGTGGAACGATATTGTCGATATGTTGAAGCAAAATCGGAATGTCCTTTCTCTTTCTGTGCAAAAAAATATATTTTTTGAAAATTTCGACCATTTGTGGGGGAGGTACCAGAAGGAGTGGGCCGATATTGTCCATCTTAACACCAGACCTTGGGTTAATATAAATATTGGGATGTTTCAAATTTGAAGACAATCGAACTCTTACATCACATTATATGAGAGTTGTAATTATTCAAAATTTTGTGTACCAGAAGGAATGGTGCGATATTGCCCATCTCCGAACACGATCTAAGCTTGACAATAATATTACTTCGTACCTAGTTTGGACCAAATCGGATACTCCCTTCGAGAGTTACCTTGCGCACCTGCCAGATAGAGGGACGGACGGATTAATGGACATCGCTAAATCGACTCCAAATGTCCTGAAACGAATTTGGTCCAAAGAGAGAGAGAGAGAAAGAGAGAGAGTCTAACACTGTTATTTCGATTAGGTACCTTTTGGCCATATGACTGAGGGTATAAAACCAAAGGCATACCCGTCATCTGTGGGCTACCACAAACCAGAATTGGAACCTTAGAGCAAGCGTGTATTTATACTGTCGCACAGTGTTATTAATTGTGTCCAGCATACGCACACACACACACAATTATAACAATGTTAATGCTAACATTCTTTTTACGAAGTAATTTAGTTTTATTCCAGTTATTTGACCATCATCACCTCTTGTTTGTGGCTGGTGGCTGGACACGCTGTAAACACATGATCTGAATGAAGATATTCATAAAATGTGAACAAACAAACATTTTTTTTATTCTCAAAATTATTTTAGGATTAAAAATTGTATTCTTTGCATAAATATATGTAGGAATATAAAATATTCGAACAAGAATAAGAAAGGACATGCTAGTTATTGTCGCCTCCTTCGTTGTAAGAAATCTACATTCAGCTTGAAATATATTTCAATTGAACACGGATTTGGCATGACTTTGAAGTGAACCCCTATTTGTTTACTCCTACACAATTCACATTCGCTTGATGCTCGCTTCTAGCTCCCGCTTGAGTATATCATATGTTTACATAGATATGTAGGTAATACCCACAGCTAGGGTGTGTGTGTGTGTGAATATATCATTCAATTCAGACTTGTTTTATCAAAAAAATTGGTTGCAGAACCCATGTTTTTTGCACAAAATCCGTTTCAAAAAATCTGAGAAAAATAATTTTTGTGTCCGTTCGCCTCTATGTCTAACTAACTGCTCCTTACAATGACACTCGAACAGAGTATGCGATTTGATCAACTCTTGTCACATTGTTGCTGAAAATCATGATAATGATAGGTAATAGGCAATAAGTTGTGCGCATAACAACGCATAATTTTCAACATTGTTGTTGTTGTATGATTTTACACAGCCTCTACCATCTGGAAGAAACTTGAAAATTTTCAAAAAAAAAAAAAATCCGCCGGAAAATAGGCTGTAGTAACTGTGTCATAGGCTGTAGTAACTGTTCCGAACTTTATATACGAAATTTGAAACAATTCCGGTGAATAATGTCGCAAAAATCATGAAAATACCGAATATCTATTTAGATAATTCTCTTCTGAGAGAAAATTACTCAAAAGGAACCCCTTTTGTGGATTTATAGACAATTCCATTAAAATTGCCTGAAATCATCAAAATACCGAATATCGGGTGGTACCGTTATATGGGGATATACGATATAGTGGACCTATATAGACAATTCTCTTCTAGGGACTGAAGTACTCCTTGTAAGGATTTCAGACAATGACGTTGACGTTGAAATGATATCGTGGACCAATGTAGAAAATTATCTTCCAGAGGTTAATGTACTCACAAAGACATACTTTTGTGGATTTAAGAGAATTCCATTGAAAAATGTGAATTAAATCATGAAAATACCGAATATCGGGGGGTGCCGTTATATGGGGGCTATACGATATCATGGATAGATAATACTCTTCTACGGGATATGGTACTCACAAGGAGATCCTCGTGTGAATTTTCAGAATTATTATTTCGAGGAGTTACAAACGGAATGACGAACTTAATATACCCTCCATACTACGTATGGTGAAGGGTATACAAAGTGTTTAAAACCTTACACATTTGGATTTACGAGTTTGTATTGCGATTTTAGACATTCTATTTCGATTATCCAAATTTTTGTGTGTAATTGTCAGTATAATTACGCAACTATGAATGCATTTAATAAAATTAATGTTAATTGAGGGAGAAAATTATTTTATTGAAATAAAAATTAACACATTTCATATAAATATAAGAGAGATACAAGATGGCGCAAAAGTAAACTTCCGAAGTTTTTTAGCTGTTATTAAAAAAAAAAAAAACCAAGTAAAATAGTATACCCCCAGCCTTGAGTTATGATTATTCAAAGTGTTGACCCTTATGCGGGAGGTTCATGAGCTTCATGGATACTCAAAAAAAATTGACCTTTTGTGGGGGGGGGGGGGTGGTTCCAAAAGGAGTGGACCAATATATTCCATTTTAACACCAGACCTTGAACTAATAAAAATATTGTGATGTGTGTAATTTGAAGACAATCCGACACTTACATCAGATTTTATAAGAGTTTTAATTATTGAAAATTTTGACCCTTTGTAGGGGAGGTACCAGAAGAAGTGGACCGATAAAACCCACCTTTATAGCAGATCTTGTGTTATTAGAAATAATGAGATGTGTGAAATATGAAGAGAATCGGATGATTATTCAGGATTTTTTCTTTTGGTTATTCAAAACGTTCATCCTTTGTGGGGGAGGTACCAGACGGATTGGTCCGATCTCCAATGTTGTGCCAATGTTGATCTGTTAATTTCGCAATTTATGAGTTTCTTGGTTATTTAAAAATTTTACCCTTTGTGAAGTAGGTACCAGAAGGAGTGGACCGATATTCTCCATTTTCACGCCATACCTTGATGGTTAAAAATAATTAAAAATATTGTGATGTGTGTAATTTGAAAATAAACGGACACTTACATCATTTCAAACCTTTGTGGGAGAGGTACTGGATAGAGTGGACCGATGTGCACCTAACGTAGCCAAATATTAGGATTTGCAAAGTTGGAGCACAATCGGATTATCCTTTCTCTTTCTGTGCAGCAAATTATTTTCTTTGAAAATGTTGAGATTTTGTGGGGGAGGTACCAGAAGAAGTGGACCGATCTCCGAACTCGATCTAAGTTTGAAAATAATATTACGATTTAACAAGTTTGGATCGGATACTTCCTTCGAGAGTTACCGGTCCACTCCTTCTGGTACCTCTCCCACAGAGGCTCAAACTTTTGAATATCCATGAAGTTCATAAAATGCAAAATTAACATCCGATTCTATTCCGAATTGGCACATCTCAATATTTCTATCAACACAAGATCTGTTATGAAGATAGAAGAGATCGGACCATTTTTTCTGGTACCTCCCCCACAAAGGGTCAAAGTTTTAAATAACCAATACGATTATAAAACCCAGTATAAGTATCCGTTTCTCTTAATATTTTACGCATCCCATTATTTTTACTGACACAAGATCTGCTGTGAAGATGGAATATCTCAGTCCACTCCTTCTGGACTGATACTTTTTACCTTGTTTTACCAAATTTCGGTTGTTGATTCCATTCCCTCAAAAATCGTAGATTTTCCTATCTCAAGCTCAATTTAAAATCTATATATATCCTGTTCTTCCCTGTATTTCTTGCAGGCATTCTACATCATGCCTTTAGAAACGACAAAATTAAATAAGCCAATTAACACCAGCATCTACAAAAAAACAACAATACTCCAGAAAAAGAAAAAACATCGCGACAAAAGTGATTTGGGTCCGAATTTTGTGGCACCCGATGGAGGTTGGGGTTGGATTGTCTGCGTAGCAGCCGGACTAAGTAATGTAAGTTTGTATAAAAAAATATGTTCAAATAAATATGAATTTCTTTTTCTTAATTGTATTTTTTTTTTTTTCGAATAGCTATGTCTTTTCCTTCCCCAGCATCAGTATGGCCTGATCTATAGACAGCGTATGGAAAAATCTGGCTTTGATGCCAAGGAAATTTCAACAATTGTCAATGCCGAATTGGCAATCTCTTCATTGGTGGGTCTTGTCAATGGAGCCATGTTTAGGCGATTTACCTTTCGTCAGGTGGGGCTGATGGGTAGCCTACTGGCATTCGTTGGGATATTTTGTACGACATTTTGTGAGAACTTTTTGCAATATATACTGTGTTTTGCAAGCATCTATGGTAAGAAGAAAACCGAACATTATTATTCAAAATGATTTTTTCACTCTCTCTTTCTATATTTAGGTATTGGCTTAGGATTATGTCGACAAGCCAATTCCCTGGCCCTCAACACATATTTCAAAACAAAACGCCGCAAAGCAACCGGATTCTCGTGGACAATAACAGGATTGGGTTTTGTGGTATTTCCCCAACTTACCATACTTATGTTTTCGCTCTATGGAGTTCAGGGTACAATTTCAATATTTTCTGCCATAATACTCCATGCCTTTATGTGTTCCCTAACTCTACAGCCAGTTTTGTGGCATTCTCCAAAGACGATGGAGGTTCCGATGGTAGCTCCTCGGGAAACACATGGAGACAATGAGAACCTTAAATGTTCATATTGTCGAAATCAAGAAGAAGATCAAACCTTACAAATTTCAGAGAAAAATGAGGGGAGACCTTCAAATAACTATAAAAATTCAGACAATGCAAAGGAGGGTCATGAATTGCTGAAAAGAAGGGAGGAAGCTTTTCCCAATGCAAAACGCAAAAGTGATATTTTTTCTAAATCTGAGAACGATATTCATCCCCACTGCACCTGCACGGAGGAAAAACTTCTTCTAGAAAAGACCCCAGGAAATCTCCCCAAGTCCACATCAGAAATAGAGGAATTGGAGGAAATTACACCCCAACGAAAACGCCCCTCCCTCATGCAGAAAATTATCGAATTTTTCGATTTGGATCTCCTCAAGGATTTCACTTTTGTCAACTTAGCCTTGGGAATGGCCATAATGATGTTCGGTGACATGAATTTCACAGTTCTCACGCCATTCATTCTGAATAGTTTCGGTTACACGGACAAACAGATATCCATTGGCATGTCTTGCCTGGCTGGCGTAGATATTGGTGTCCGCTTTCTATCACCATTTGTCTTGGAGAACGTGAAACTCTCCAACAGTTTTCTATTTGCCATTGGCATAATTATCGTTTCGATTGGACGTTGGATTGTGACCATAACCAGTTCGTACAATGTGATTTTGGCAGCGTTTATTTTGCTAGGTTTTGGAAAGGGTTTCCGCATTATATTTTCACCTCTGATCATACCAAGTTATGTGCCCTTGAAGAGACTGCCAGCAGCATCGGGATTGCAAATGATTTTCAGTTCGATTACCTCGTTTACATTGGGTCCATTGTTGGGTGAGTTGGGAATTTTTACGAATTATTTGGATATTATGTTATTGGTTCTTATTTCAGGTATGATGACCGATAGCTTCGGCTATGCCGTCACCATTCATTGTATAAATGCTTTGAGCTTCCTGATGTTAATATTTTGGCTAATGGAGTACCTAATAAGAAGAAGACTGTCGAAACATTCCATTACGTCAAGCAATTTATGATCTATTTTTATCTGTGTGAAAAAGTATACAAAATCGAACAGGTTAAATAGTATTAGTCGGTTTAGACGACAGATTTTTACCCTCAGCCTATGTCGACTTAGAAGTCCCATATAAATATTGCGACGTGCCAGGTTTGGACTGTATCGACTACTCCTCCACTTTATATGAGATAGCTCTGAACCCAGTGCGTTTCACTGCCCCTTTGGCTTTTTTATATGCATTTAAAATTTTATATTCGAATATTTTATTATATTATTTAAATAAAACGTATCCAAAAATTAAAAAAATATATACCATGAGAAAATCAGCAGCAGTCTGCTTACACGAAGAGTTTGTTCATCGGATTTATAGATTTACTAGCGAATATCCCATACTTCGTATGCTAAAAAATGCATTTAGATTAAGTGAATATATGTGTAATTCCAAAACAATAAGTAAAAAATCATCTAAGTTCGAATGAGCCACACTTTTACACCACCTCCACCATTTTGAAGCAATTTGAAAAATGTCCAAAAAATTCCGTCCAAAAACACCACTCAAAGGAAACACCTTATATAGGGGGCTATATGAAGATGTGGTTCGGCATAAGTATGTTTTTGTCATCGAAGTACCCATTACGAAATTTAAAAACGAAATTTGAAACAATTCCGGTGCAAAATGTCCCTACAATCATCAAAATAACGAATAAAGGGAGGTAACGTCGTACGATATCGTGGACCTATGTAAACAATACTTTTCCAGGGGGTAAAGCGCTCCAAAGGAACTCCTCGTATGGATTTTCAGATGATTTTATTCAAAAAATGTGGCTAAAATCATAAAAATTCTCATATACTAAATTAAAATACTTAGAACGAATTCATTGTGTAGACTTTCTGACAATTTCATTCGAAAATGTGGCTAACATGGTCAAAATATCGAATATGGGGGGGGGGGGGATTACCGTTGTATGGGGAATACACTATATCTTGGACCTATATAGACAATACTCATTCAGGGGCTAATGTATTCAGAACGAACTCCTTGTGTGGATTTTCAAACATTTCCATTGAAAAATGTGACTAAAATCATCAAAATGCCGAATATCGGGAGGTACGGTTATATAGGGAATATACGATATCGTGGACCTATATAGACATAACAAACTTCTTGTGTGGATTTTCAAACAATTTCATTGGAAAACGTGGCTAAAATCATCGAAATACCGAATATCGGGGGGGACCGTTGTATCCTGGACATATAGAGACAATTCCCTTCCAGGGGTTAGAGTTCTCAGGACAAACTTCTTGTGTGGATTTTCAGACAATTTCATTCAAAGATGTGGCTTAAATCATTTAAATACCGAATATCGGGAAGTACGATTATATGGGTGATAAACGATATCATGGACTTATATAGACAATTTTCTTCGAGGAGGTAAAATACTTAGAACGAACTCCTCGTGTGAATTTACAGACAATTCCATTGAAAAATGTGGCTAAAATCATCAAAATTCCGAATATCGGGGGTTCCATTGTATGGAGGCTATACTATATCCTGGACCTGTACGGACAATTCCCTTCCAGGGGATAAAGTTCTCAGGACAAACTCCTTGTGTGGATTTTCAGACAATTTCATTCGAAAATGCGGATAAAATCATTAAAATACCGAATATCGGGAAGTACGGTTATATGGGGGATATACGATATTGTAGACCTATATAGACAATTCTCTCTCAGGGGGGGGGAGGTGTTAAAGTTCTCAGAACGAACTTGCACAGAGGAAGAAAGTACAATCGGATTTTGCTCAAACTTTGCAAATCCTAATATTTGCATCAGTGCTAGGTCAGGTGCGAAAATGGACAATAGCGGTCCACTCCATCAAGTACCTCCCCCACAAAGAATGAGAATTTTGAATATCCATGAATCTCATATAACGCGAAATTAACAACCGATTCCATTTAGACTTTAGCACATCTCAATATTTCCATCAAAACAAGATCCCTTATAAAGAAGGTAGAGATCGGAACATTTCTTCTGTTACCTCCCCCACAAAGGGTCGAAGTTTTAAGTAACCAAAGCGATCATAAAATCCAAAATAAGTATCTGGTTCTCTTCATATTTCACATATCAGAATATTTATATTAGCCCTAGGTCTGGTGTTAGGATGGGATATATCGGTCCACTCCTTCTGATACCTCCCTCACAAAGGGTCAACGTTTTGAATATTCATGAAGCTCATAAAACGCAAAATTAACATCCGCTTCCATTCAGACTTGGCACATCTGAATATTTCTATCAACACATGATCCCTTATAAAGAAGGTAGAGATCGGAACATTTCTTCTAGTATCTCCCCCAAAAATGGTCGAAGTTTTAAATAATTCAAACGATCATAAAAGCCGAAACAAACATCAGGTTCTCTTTATATTTCAAAAATTCCTTTATTTCTACAAACACAACATCTGTTGTGAAGATGGGATATATCGGTCCAGTCTTTCTGGTACCTCACCAACGAAGGGTCAACATTTTGAATAACAATGAAGCATATAAAACGCGAAAGTAACATCAGATTCCCATATATATTGTTCATTCGATTTGTTATTTTTGTCCTCCGCAGCCGTAATATGCACTCTGTAACAACAATATTTGGGGAAATATAGCAAATAGAGCTCAGAAATACATTTGCTAAATTTTATCGAGATCGGTTCAGATTTGGATATAGCTCCCATATATAACTTCGTCCGATTTACATTTTATTGAGCACCAAACGTCATATATTTGTCCAAATGGGATGGAATTTAGCACTTACGACCGAATTGAGTCTAGAAGCTAGTATGTCAAATTTGGTGAAAATCGGTTCAGATATAGCTGTAGCTCTTATATATATTGTTCATCCGATTTGTTATATTTGTTACCCACGACCGTAATATGCACTCCGTAACAAAGATATTCAGGGAAATATATCAAATACAGCTCAGAAATATCTTTGCTAAATTTTATCGAGATCGGTTCAGATTTGGATATAGCTCCCACATATATATTTATCCGATTTCAAATTAATTGTGCACCAAATGAGCAATACAAGTCCGAATTTAAAAGATACAAATTCTTTGGCATATTTAGTCCGTTGAGCTTTATATTATAATTATAATCATAGCGTGTATGATTGAATTCTCCCATAAAAACTTTAAATTGTTTTGCGAAGCTCTACTAAATTAGCAAAGTGGTGTAGGGTTTCATAAAATCGGCCCGGCCCGAATTTAGGACTTTCTTTACTGTTTTTTTTTTTTTTTTTTGGAAAAGATTAACAGCATTATCCAAACGGTCTTACTAGTATTTGTAGTTTAAAGAGGAACACGTTTAAATTCAGATAATTTTATGTAAAAGTGTTTTTTTTACCCAATGGTGGAGGATATTAAAAGTTCGACCTGGTCGAACTTAATGTTTTTTATTTTTTTTAAATGGGTTTCTTGCATAGGTCGGTTATTGAGTTTCCATGATTTAATCGGGATTTAATTCAATGCTTCAATCTTAATTTCACATTTATTTTATTTCATTTTATTACACTAGAAACACGATTTTCCAATCATAGAAGTGCTATTATTTCACACACAACTGATGCCACTAACGCACGTTCTCTTGTAAATCCCCCAATCAAACCACATAAAGAGAATATGATAGGGAGAGAGAGAGAGAGTACTGGTGAGAGATTTCCAATAACTAACTTTCTATTGTTTTGCGATATTTGTTATGAATTCGTTTTTTAACCAAACCAAACAAACCGGCATCAACAGTTCAGTTATTGTTTTTGCTCAGAGAGTATTCTACAGCACACCGCACGCGAAGTAAATAAAAATCAATTCGTAGTTTGTGAATGAGAACGAAAACATCAGACATGTGAAAAGTAATTACAAAAACAAACGTATTCTAAAAAATACTTAAAAGTTCTGTTTTACATTAATTCGACGTCATCGAATTTAAAGTGAGGCACCTTCTTCTTGTTATTTCCGCGTAAATTGATTTTGTTTTTTTTTTTTTTTGGTTGATTAAAATGTTTTGGAAGTATCTTTTTGAGTTTGTAAACAAAGATAATTATAATAAATTATTTAATTGATTATTAATTGTGTCGAACACACACACCCACATAATTATAACATAATAACATTTTATTTACAAAGTGATTTAGTTTTGTTCGAGTTACGAGTATTTGACCATCAGCAACTGTCATTTGTGGCTGGACACGCAGTGCACTCATGATCTGAATAAAAATAATGCAGTTATTTAAAAATATGAAAAACAATTACTTTTTTTTAAGTTTGAAAGCTTATTTCAGAACTGAAAACTTTATTCCCTACATAAATGTGTTAAAATTATAAAATATTCGGACTAGTGTTAAAAATGATATGTCAACCCTATGCTTTTACATTTTGAATGACGGCACAGATATCAATTGAATACCATCTACAATAGAATATATAATTTCATGTATCCCCCAAAGTGCTTCGAAGAAATAATTTTGTTAGAGACCCTGCATGTTTGGAGGAAATCCGTTTTGGAATATATTTTGCAATATACGTCCATCTAACTTGCCGTTTCGTACAATAACTCCAAGATAGAGCATTAAATTAGGTAAAATCTATCCAGATCGTAATATATCATCATACTTAGATGGATAATAAAGGCTAAATTGATCCTCTTTTTGGGGGAGGTACAAGAAGCCATGGGCCAATAATTTAGCATATTCCTTCCTTGATACAAGTATAATTATGGACACGTTTAGACTATACAGGTGAAAAAATCTGAAGCCAACTTTAGAATGCTGTCATTTTTAAGCCACTCGTCCGACAGCTATTAAAATTATTCCAGTGAAAGCTCATTATATTGTTTACAAACGTGCAAAAGCATTTTGTTGTGAATTTTTCAGAAAAAAAGTTATTCCGGATGGAATTCAAGCGTGATAGTGTGATTTCTTTATATTTGGCTGGAAAACCACGAGTGGCTATCGTTAGAGCACTCCAGCATTTAAATGTGAATAAATCTTTTGTGTCTCGTACCATCGCTCGTTACCGTGATACTGGTGGCGTACCCCAACGTCAAGGAAGCGGAAGGAAGAAAACAGCAACATCAGCAGAAATTGTTCGAAAAGTAAAGAAGATCGATCGAAGAAGGATACTTCATCGAAA